AAGGTTGTCGATATCAAGGCCATCAAGAAATGGGCCCGACAGATTCTCCAAGGCCTACATTATCTCCACACTCAGAATCCACCTGTTATTCATAGAGACTTGAAGTGTGACAATATCTTCATTAATGGGAATAGCGGTGAAGTTAAAATAGGAGATCTTGGATTGGCTACGATGATGATGCAGCCTACTGCCACGAGTGTTGTTGGTATTAGATTTATTCCTTTTGGAGATTCCATTGTATGTGCTATCTGTGTTGATCTATAGCCAGCCTTTCAGCCTTATTTAATCTATTTATTTGTTTATTTTCCACACAGGTACTCCTGAATTCATGGCACCTGAGCTCTACGATGAAGAGTATGACAACCTTGTTGACATTTACTCTTTTGGCATGTGCTTATTGGAGCTGATAACAAGTGAATACCCATACAGTGAATGTATTAATCCTGCACAAATCTTCAAAAAAGTTACCTCGGTACGATCTGCAAGCTATTTATACTGTGTGTGTCCATACGGAGTATTTGTGTTTGTGCAACCTAGATCATTCTTCCTAATATTTTGATGATAATCTCATACCAGGGGAGAAAGCCAGCGGCTCTTGATAAAGTTAAAGATCCCGAAGTGAAGCAATTTATTGAAAAATGTTTGCTCCCTGCTTCTCAACGGTCGAGTGCAGCAGAACTATTGAAAGACTCGTTCCTTTCTTCCGCTAGTTCAACGGAACTTGGTTTTGGTACTTTAATGAGCTCAAGCTCTACATCAAAATCCATAGGCTTGCCAAGTTCTGAATCTCCCTTGGTGGACATTGCTTCTTCATCCAGAATGTCTAGTAGGCCTGGTCATGCAGAAAGTAAGAGCGGGACACTCCAAAGTTTACTCCCTGCTTCTCAACTGTCGAGTGCAGTAGAACTATTGAAAGACTCATTCATTTCTTCTGCTAGTTCAATGGAACTTGGTTATGGTCCTTTACTGAGCTCAAGCTCTACGTCAAAATGCATAGGCTTGCCAAAGTCTGAATCTCCCTTGGTCGACACTGCTTCTTCATCCATAATGTCTAGTAGGCCCGGTAATGCAGAAAGTAAGAGTGGGACACCCCAAAACTTTGAGTTTCTGAGCTGCAGTGAGAAGAATGAGTTTAGATTAGAAGGGGATTTGTGCGACGAAAATTCAATTTCCTTGCATATGCGAATTGCTGACTCTGGTGGTATGTATTATGTGCCTAAATTTTACACATACAAAGGGATGAATCATCATACAAAGTATATCTTAATAATATCATTAACCCTTGGATTTCTCTTTGTTGTTGACAGGTAAAGTGAGAAATATTGATTTCATGTTCTACCTTGAAAGTGACACAGCTCTCTCAATTGCTGGTGAGATGGTAGAACAACTTGAGTTGTCAAACGAAGATGTGACTGTAATAGGTGACTTGATTGATAGCTTGGTTTTAAAACTTGTCCCAAACTTGAAGCCATCTTGTAAAAGTTTGTGTGCTGCAAACAGCTCATATGGAAGGTTGACTACAAATCCCATTTCTACAAGCTCTCTTCCGAAGAATGAATCAAAAGGGGATGTCAGCCAAGGAACCACTGAACAGATAGTCTTTCCCGATAAAAGCATCAAAGAATTTGTCCAACCATCCTTGAAGCTTGATGAGCATGAGAAAACATTTAGATCTGTTGATGAAGAATGTTTGGTGAATGCCAACCCTAGCAGTACTAGTTTGGGCATTTCTTCTCTCTCTTTAGCAGAAAAGGATCACGAGCGAGATGCCTTGAAGCGAGAAATGGATGCTTTTGATATGCAATATCTACAACATTGCCGTGAACTTGTGAGGAAGAGGCAGGAGTCAATCGGAAATTGCAGGAGGAAATGGATTACAAAAAGGAAGAGACGCCTTCTGATGGTTCATCTATAGCTTCATAGTTTCTCAAACAAATGTACTTTTTTTACTTATTGTGATTTAGTTGCCATCTGGGAAATTTTTTGTTCCTTTTGGTAATAAAAAAAATGAGTCGCTTTCTCAATGATCAATTGATCAGGGTGAGCCTTTATGATGTATTGACATTATTTTCTTGATTTGTATCTTGTCAGTGTGTTTAGTTATTTTGATTTAGTTGCCATCGGGAAATTTTATTGTTCCTTTTGGTCCAAGAAAATGACTCAATGATCAGGGTGAGCCTTTATGATTTAGTGACATTGTTTTCTTGATTTGAATCTTGTCAGTGTGTTTTGTGAGAAGGTTCTTGTAGTAGACTGTTATGAGTTATGACTTATGACTAGGGTTGGACTCGGGCTGGTTTGGGCCTGGGCCCGGCCGGGCCTCGGTTCATGAAAGGGGAGGCCCGGAACCGGCCCGGGTAACCCCCGGGTCCGGTTCGGGCCGGGCTAGGCCGGGCCTCGGTTCTATTTAATTTTTTTTGGCTTTTCCTAATTAACCCCCAACCCTCACCCCCAAACCACCTCAAGTGGCCCAAAATACCCAGCCCAACCCAAAAACTTAAAAAAAATTCAAAAACTTAATAAATAATACTGTTCAAAAAGTGTACCCATTTTTGTTTATATTTTTAAGAATTACTCTTAATTTTAATTATTAATGTTGTTCCAACAATTCTCTCAAGAACTCTACGCAGGCTGAGATAATACTAAAATTTAGGGAGTACATACGCACTTGTGAGTTTACCAAGTTAAGATCAAATTTAAATAGACTTGTTCATAACTTCATACTCCGTACTTAATGGAGTGTTTGGATTGCTTGTGCAGTTGTGCTTATTAAAAGTGATTTTTTAAGAAATTATTGGAAAAGTGATTTATTGTAAAACTAGTTAGTGTTTGGGAATAGAAATGATTTTAATTAAAATGTAAAAGTTGGAGTGTTTGGGAATAGAAATGATTTTAATTAAAATGTAAAAGTTGGAGTATTTGTGATTGTAAAGTAGTAATTTTCTGAAAAGTACAAAAATATCCTTTAATATCATAACCATCTCTGATCTACGCCGGAAGAGCTCCTGAAACCTTCTTCTCTCGCAACTTCCATTTCCGTGTCAGAGCACGCAAGTCATGTGTGTGCACGGACTTTTAGTTGTATGTAGACAGACAATTTGTGCAGTCTTTGTATGTGCTTAAATTTTTTGGTTTGTGTACACATGCATTGAAAAAAAATCGTTGTCTGTATACAATTTTCGACGACTTTCTGGCGACTCTCAAACTTTGTTCTAATCGATTTTAGAAGATGATAATGGGAAAGATGATGAGGTGATGTATAAGGAAGATATGAATATGGAATGTGATGGATATGGTGAGGTAGATAAAAGTGAAAAATGGTGAAGATTGTGATGATAGAGATAGAGTGAGGAAGATGAAGGGACGATGGTGGAAAAAAGAAAGAATAAGTCGAGACTAGGTGTAAAAGAGAGGGATTTTATGTGTAATGTGTGCCAAACATTATAAATCTAAGCAAAACATGTGCAGTTTGTCTTAAGATGTTTTTAATTGGACTCAAATTTTATGTTTCAATTGTTTGGTATAAATTGGTATAATTGTCAAAGATGTTTTTACTTGGACTGTTTTCAGTCCCAAACCAGATCAGATAAGATCAGACCAGATCAAACTTGAATAATTATTAAATATACAAAGATTAGACATTTACCAAACCAAACAAGACGAGATTAGATCAACACATTTCACCTAGGAGAAAACTAGCAAATTCCCGTCCCAAGTAAAAACACCCAAGTGTGGTACGGAGAAAACTAGCAAATTCCCATCACTTATAGCTTAGTTGGTTGTGAGGTTACCCATGCATAGAAGAGGTCTCGTGTTCGAGTCCCACTAGCACCAGGGGAACTATGCTCCCCCAAAAAACCTTCAAGTGGTAGGGCCAAGTGGTGTATACTAACCCGTAGGGCCAAGCCAAAGTTGGGTTTCTGGGGTAAGGGGCCGTGAAAGCGGTGGAGCTAGTCACTATAAAAAGTTTACCCATACCTTAGTTTTTTAGTGAAACCGAGCTTTCCAGTCCACTGGAAGCAAAGTTACCGTGTCTAGCTAAGGTCTCGGGTAGGGGTGGAAATAGGCCAGCCGGCCTGTCAGGGGCCTGTGGCCTGGCCTGTTAAAAGCCTGGCCTGGCCTGGCCTGTTTAGTAATCAAACTAGGTTTGGGCTTTTCAAAAAGCCCGTTTATCTAAATAGGTCAGACCTAGCCCAACTCTGAAGCCTTTTCATCTTAACAGACCGACCTATTTATGTGTGTGTGTATTTAGTTATATTTATTTACGTAGTATATTATTTACATTTATATTGGTATACTTAACTATATATAATTCGGCATAGTAGCATTTTTATGAAGTGTGTATTATAAATTAGAATAGAATACTATTTTAAATATATATAAAGTGTGTTAATAGTTTATTAAGATAATTGAAATTCAAGTTTTTCAATATTTGAATTACATAGAAATTTATTTTCACTACATAATAATGTATTATTAGACATCCAAAGCAAAACTAACGTATTATTAGACTTTTTAGTGAATATTTGGGGGAATAAATTTTATACCGGGTTAAAAGGATTTTTCACTTTTTTTTTTACTTTTTTTTTGTTAACAGGCCCAGTAAACAGGCTTCAGGCCAGGCCAGGCTCAGGCCGAAAAACCAGGCCTTTAACAGGTAACAGGCCAGACTCAGGCCTATATATTCTAAAACAGGCCCGACCTGTTTAGGCGAAAGCCTGACCTGACCTATTTCCACCCCTAGTCTCGGGTTCGATTCCCGCTAGACACATTTAGGGGAGAGGAGGGGGTCTTGCTCCCAATGATTCTTCCTATCTTTAGCGGCTAAGAAGGGAGGGGATGGAAATTCAAGCTCGGGTTCGCGTGGTGGGAGGACGCGACCCTTCTGGATTCAATTGAAAGGCCAAAAAAACCCTTTTGCATTCAGTTGAAAGGAAATCCTGCTAGTTTCGTCCCGTAGTACCGATACCAACTAAGATTTGGACCATAGTCAATAAAGTCTAGAATTAAGGGAATGCAAGCTCAGTCTAGAAAACTAGTAAAAGCATCCCTAACGTACAAATATTAATGTTGTTGTCGTCGTCATCGTTTTGAGCGTGTAGGTTCCGCTAAGCTGTATTCTAGACTCACAACAATGGATGCGCAATCGGATGGCGGGAACGATGAGATGACGGCGGTGAAGGAGTTGAGGCAACAACTAGAATCCCGTGCGGCGAACGTGCACAACGTTCAGCTGGACCTTATCGCCTCCCTGCAAAACATCGTCCCTGACATTGTCTCATCCCTTGACCTCTCCCTCAAGGCAATCTCCTGCTTCAGCGGCCGCCCTTTCGTTCCCCTTCCCGAAACTCTCTCTTCTAACCCTAACCCTAACCCTAATGTTCGCTGTCCCAAATTTCCCTCCTCGGATCCCACCAAATTCAATTCTGCTAACACTACTATCGCACTGGGAAAGCGCTCTCCGGCGCTTTCCAGACCGGAGAATGTGAAAGCGGTCATTGATGAGAGCGGGGGGGCTTTGTCTGTGGTTAGGGCAATGGTCGCTGTATGTTTGCTGGAGAGAGTTCCATTTGAGGCCATAGATTCGTCAACTGTGAATAGGAAGCTGGAGAATGATCAGTCCATAACCGCTGCAGAGAGGGAAGCTCTCAGGGAGCTCGGAGGGGAGTCTGGAGGTATACTGGCAGTGGAGATGGCATTGAAGTCAATGGCAGAAGACAATGGTGGGGTTGAGATGGAGGAATGCGTGTTTAGTGGAAAATCTAGAGTGATGGTTATGAATATAGACAGGACCCGTCTTTTGAAAGAATTGCCCGAGAGTAAGCAGTTATATAAGCAGAGTGAAGTTGGAAATCGGAATAATCAGGACCTGTTAAAAGCTGGTGGTGATGCTAATAATGGAGGTTTTTTTGGAATGGCGAGGCAGGTGCCTGAGATGTGGGTAGGCATGCAGGCTGAACACCCACCGCCCCATATGTCCGGACTGCCCCCTATGTTTCCCGGGAATAATATGGGTCTGAGAGGTGGTCCAAGGGGGATGGTTGGGATAATGGGTGGGATGCCGAGGGGAATTGGGATGCTACCTCCAATGCCAAGGCCCCCAAATGGAGGGGCAAATCTGAACCCTAGGACTGATGAAGATGATAATAAAGATCTTGAGGCTTTGTTGAATAAGAAGAGTTTTTTGGAAACCCAAAAATCAAAAACTGGAGAGGAGCTAGCGAACCTTATTCGGCGTGCTACAGCCAAGGAGACTGCTATTGCTGAAAGGGTATTGAAACCTTTTCACATGTTTTTTACCCTTCTCTTTTTTATAGTTGGAACTTCAATGTTTGGTGAAATAGTCAGTGGTGGAGCTAATATTTTATGCTCTTGTAATCTGAATTCTGAAAGTATGCATTCTTATCAGAAATACTACTTTAGATGAGCTTTTATCGAGCTTTATGAGTTAATAAGTGAAATTAATTGATATGAGTTACTCACATTATTACACTTGCAGCCTCTACACAGAAAGACTTCCGATTAAATGTTCCCTCCATCCCAAAAAAGAATCATGTTCAATAATTCAATTAGGGTACACGTTTTTTTTATCAACTCAATCATGGTAGAGATTTGCAGATTATGAATGATCACTTATATTCCTACAATTCACGTTGAAGTTTTGTTGGCTATACAAGAATTTTACTAAAAATGAAACTTGACTTTTAAAGTTGGATTGGGGGGGAAGTTCTTGAAATATGACTCTTTTTTTGGGATTGGAGTAATATTTTTGAACGGGAAGGAATGACCGCCTATTTTGACCATACTGACTGATGCTAATACTATGCTTGTCTCACTACAGTTCAAAAGCAAAGGTGGGTCCCAAGTAAAGGAATACTGCTCAGCACTTACAAAAGAAGATTGTCGACGAAAATCTAATTCTTTCATTGCTTGTGTGAAGGTCAGAGTCAGACTGAAACCTTGCAGACTTCACCTCTTAACCTTTCTAGACATATGTAATGCACAATAGATGCACTCACTTCAACTGATATTTTGACTTTTCTTTTCTGGTTGTTAGGTTCATTTCCGGCGCATTATTGCTGCACATACAGATGTTAATTTGGGTGATTGCTCTTTTCTCGACACTTGTCGTCATATGAAGGTAAATTCTTTTCTAGTTTACAAAATGAAAATTGTTATGATATATAACTTGCCCTGATTTTTTTTGACAGACTTGCAAGTATGTGCATTATGAATTTGACTCAGCACCTTACATTTTTTTGACAGACTTGCAAGTATGTACATTATGAACTTGACTCAACACCAGATATGTCACATCATATGATGGGACCAGGTCCCTTACCTCCCCCCAAGCCTTCGCAACAGCGTGCTCACTATTGCTCAGAAGTGGAGCTTGGCGAACCACAATGGATAAACTGTGACATTCGCTCATTCAGAATGGACATTTTAGGACAGTTTGGGATCATTATGGCAGATCCTCCTTGGGATATTCACATGGAATTACCTTACGGAACAATGGCTGATGATGAAATGCGTACCCTTAATGTCCCTGCACTCCAGACTGATGGGTTAATATTCCTTTGGGTAACTGGAAGAGCTATGGAGCTTGGACGTGAATGGTATACAATCTTTTCAAAATCTTTACTTTTATTATGGTTCTAAAACTCGAAAAGTGCATCTAAAAGTTCTGGTATATTTAAAGTGATGTGAAGTACATGTTCTTGTCATGTTTGGTGAAACATAGTTTCGCCTCCATTTCTTGAAAGTAAGCAGTTTGTGGCTTTTCAGACACATCATACCTTATTTGTCTTTTTAAATGTGCAAAATTCAAGTACAATAAAGTGAAAATGACATTTTATTCTGATGGATCCATTCATGTTAACCGACCCTAAAATCTTTAGGGAATATGGCTTGGATGTTGTTGTGTAAAAAAGTAACGAAGATATTATTTTCATTCCATGTTTAGATTCTGAATATATGTATTCCTCAAACCTCATTACATGTTTTGAAAAATCATTATAATTTAAAGACAAATTAGTGGTGGATTTATGGCTAAAGCTAGGAATATCATGTGTATTTCTTGCAGTTTAGAGCTTTGGGGGTACAAACGCGTTGAGGAGATCATTTGGGTAAAAACCAATCAACTTCAGCGAATAATCCGAACCGGTAGAACGGGTCATTGGCTAAACCATAGTAAAGAACATTGTCTGGTGGGCATTAAGGGAAATCCAGAGGTCAATAGAAATATTGACACTGATGTCATTGTTGCTGAGGTTCGCGAAACGAGTCGGAAGCCAGATGAGGTTAGGAATCTCATCTCATAAGTAATACATTTTGCTGTAATTGTTTTGTTAAGGCCTTATTGTTTAAGCATTCATTCTTATGGGTTTGGAAGCCTTCCTAGCACTTTGGTTGTATTTTCCTTTCTCCGTTTTGATGGAGAGAATCTGCTTTTTTTCTGTTAGGTATTAGAAGTGACCACTCACAATGATCAAATTTATTTTATTTTTAATCACAAGTGATTTTGTTTGTTTTGTCATAGATGTATGCCATGCTAGAGAGGATAAGTCCAAGGACTAGAAAGCTAGAGCTGTTTGCACGAATGCATAATGTTCATGCCGGGTATTTCTTCTTACTTTACAGTGGCTATGGCTTTGATAATATTGAATTCGTAATGCACATTAAGTTAATATTTTGAGTTTCTTTCTTTGTGTTAGTGTATTTATTTACATACTGAATCACGTGAAGCATTTTCTATATGGGCTGCTATCGTTCTGCTTTAACATTAAGCTTGTTTTGGTGGAAATAAATATACTGTACTATTCTATCCATTAGCAGAAGCTGCTTCATAAAAGTTAAACTGACCGCTATTACATCATCCCGAACTTTTTAACTTGAGACTTGTCACACTATTCAAGATCTGGTTTGATATGATTTTTTTATTTGACTAATTTTATTGTCATCTAGTATGTATCTCTTGAAGGAGAGCATTGGCGCACTGGTTACGGTGTGTGACCAAGTGATCCCTCTTGTCAAATGACAAGGGAAGGCTTGCCCTTATACACCTTTGGAAGTGGCCCAAGTTTGGTGGGACCTTCTCCTGGACCCTCACATTGCACGGATGACAATGTGCACCATCCTTCCACTTTTTTAGTTTGTATCTCTTCCTAGTCCCGGTCAGATTAAAATAAGAATAAGAATGAGCAAAAAAGAGGTTTATTACCACCACATCAAATTTTGTTCTCTATGGTATATTATTACTGGACTAAGTTTGCTTGTGTAATCAAATTAATCCATCAGATGGATGTCACTTGGGAATCAATTACAAGGGGTGCGGTTAGTTGACGAAGGGCTTAGAGCACGGTTCAAGGCTGCTTACCCAGAAGTGGAGGTGCAGCCCCAATCGCCTCCCAGGCCAACTGCGATGGATGTGGATCCCAGCTCTGTTCAAGTGAGGAATACAGAATCTACTTAAGCCAACAATACAAGCATTACCAGAGACAAAAGCATTCCAGATGATTTTTTCTCTAGATGAAATTTTTACTATCTTTTTCTTGTGCATTTCAGTGATGTATATCTGCAAAGCTGGCTTGGCAAAAAAAAACTTGAGATTGAACAAAGAATTCCTTCCATTAATATGTTGTCAAAGTGTAGATGTTTCTGAAATGATTATTCGCAATTTTGTTGATATTTGGAGGGGAAAACGTGATCCTTTCCTAAACTGGGAAAATTTCTAACAATTTGGAGAAAAATGTGGGAATTACGGGAAATTGCCACTTGTTCCAAATTGGAGATTTGGAGTGGTATGGAGGTGTTTGGAAAATGGTTTATTTGGCAAAACACCTTTTACTAACATTGGATAAAAATAATAATTTCCGCTTATTGATTCAGTTGGTGACCAATAATAATTTCCGCTTATTGATTCAGTTGGTCAAAAACGAAAAAACACGAGTACGTGTTCCATATTTGCCTTTTAATTTGATGCTTTAAAATTTTAATAAACCATCTAATTTTTTGTTAAAAAAGAATAGTCTGGTCTAAACCGATTGGTTAAGAAAAGTCTATCATTTCTATAAAACTTCACTTATAGTCTTTCTATCATGTTGCAGTCTTTTTTCACAGATAATTCTTGTCAGAATTTTATAGAGAATGAAAAATGAAAATGGTATGACACATTTACATATCTCATTCTAGAAAAAGTAACATGTTAAAGTTATTTCAAAGATGTAAAAATTTAAAAACTTGACAATATTATTCATCCAAAAGAATACAAATCATATTTAAAAAGTTTATGGCCTTGTTAAGGAAATTCAAATAAGCCATTTTTTGGCTTCTTTGACTGCAAGTAATGAGTTTGACTATCTAATCAGCTAAATTTATTATTTGGTAACTAGCTGATTGAGTTTGCTTGTTGGACTCGATCACCCAAATTTTGAAACGCTGCTAGGTGTGGGCATGTGCAGTGGCGTTTATCATCGGATATGATGATCGACTCTCTCCCTTTTATACCCTTCACGTTAGGGGTGGACCGGTTCCGGTTCGGGCCCGGTTCGGGCCTGGGCCGGGCCGGGCCTCGGTTCAGAAAAACGAGGCCCGAGCCCGAACCGGTGGTGGGCGGTTCCGGGCCAGACCGGGCCGGGCCACCCGGATTTTTAATTTTTTCTTCTTCTTCTTCTCTTATTTAACCCCCTACCCCTCCCTAGTGCTGGACTCGGGCCGGTTCGGGCCCGGTTCGGGCCTGGGCCCGGGCCGGGCCGGGCCGGTCCAATTAATTTTTTTTTTTGTTCTCCTATTTAATCCCCTACCCCTCCCCCTCAACCCCAAACCATCCCAAACCACCTCAAATGGCCCAAAATACCTAATCCAACCTAAAACTTAAAAAAATTTCAAAAAAAAAAAAAAATAAAAATCCGGCCCGGACCGGGCCCGAACCGGCCGGGCCGGTTCACCAAAACCTGGGCCCGGGACCGAACCGCCCAGCAGCCGGGCCGGTCCGAACCGAACCGGTGGACCCACCGGGACCCGGGCCGGGCCAAACAGTAACCGGGCCGGTTCCGGGCCGGGCCGCCTGGCCCGAGTCCAGCACTACCCCTCCCTCTCCACCCCAAACCACCCCAAATCACCTCAAATGGCCCAAAATACCTAATCCAATCCAAAACTTAAAAAAAATTCCAAAAAAAAAAAAATTAAATTCCGGCTCGGCCGGGCCGGTTCACTAAACTGGAGGCCCGGGCCCGGACCGCTATACCACCGGGCCGGGAGGCCCGAACCGGGCACGAACCGGTTCACCAGGCCAGTCTGGGCCCGCACAGTAGCGGGTCGGTCCGGTTCTGGGCCGGTTGACCCGGCCCGAGTCCACCCCTACTTCACGTTTCACGCCTCTTTAGAATATTCTTGCTGCATTACTAGTAGTTTTGGCTTGGGGGTATAAAATTATTTGGCAAATTGCAGGTGCAAATCAAAACCATGTACATTTATTATTTTTATTTGGCTTAGTGCCTTCTCGATGCACACTTGCATCAATCAATACCAGTTATCCCATCTAATTAAATTCTACTCCGTATTATTATTATTAAAATTACGTGGTATATGATTATTGTTACGATCATATTGTTATTATTTTGCTTATTATTATTATTATCACCATCATTTTTATTGGTATTATAGATGTATTGTTCTTATACCAGTATTTTCATGTCTTTTTACGCTCTGGCAGCTATCCTTAAATAGTTAATTTTATCAAACATTTACTTGCAATAAGCTAAAATAACCAGCTAACTGAAACATCTTGACACAATCAGCTGTTCTTAATCAACTATCATAACTAGTTAACAGTTAACCCCTAACAACCGATGGCCAAACATGGCCTATATGTTGAAGAGCTAAAGAAAATTGCATGTAATTGGTTGGTATTATAGATGGAATTATGCATTAGGGTTATATATATGTACTTATTTAATAGGTCGATATGGCTCATTCATTATATATCTTTATTCCACAAAGAGTTTTGATTGGACCACATCACTTTATCATTTTTAATTTAGATTTAAATAATTCAATTGCTACATTCTGATTGGTCCATCTGGACAAAGGTATGGTACCTTATGGGTACCATAAAATCTACCAAGAGTTTTACCTAATAGAATATTATATACTTCCCTAAACACGCTATCAGGCAGGATCAGGTATATATAATACTAATCCTTACATTGCTCTCCTACCGTGCTACTCTTTTTCGTCTGCCAATATTGTATTTACTCTCAGGCTTTTATCACTGGATGACGAAGGTCCTCAAGACAACCTCAATCGCATCATTCTATTTATAGCTCAGAAAGTGATGGTATAAAAATATTGTATTCTACAACCTAGAACGTATGGAGTATAGAATTGTATTAACGCAATAGTTGTATTTAGCTTGTTTTTAAAACCCTAATTTCACTTTTTAAAATTTCACTTTTTAAAAGGATTTTACCTAATTTAGATCTTGTTTGTTAACTTTATTTTTAGCTTATTTACCTTATCGGTCTCTTCCAAAAAAAACTTATCAGTCAACTTTCTTTTATCAAACATATACGGAGTATTTTTTAGTATGCGTGTTGAATTGTGTAATAACTAACAAAAATAAGATTAAAGTTATTTTTTCCAATTGAATTGGTTGATGTTATAGTAGATGATTATTTTAACTATCTACATGTTAGTTTTCTTAGTTTTATTAAAAATACTTTGTATATTTTAAATATTTTAAATGTCACAAATTTGAACAGATTCAGTCAATTCAACCAATTTTAGTGTTACAGATTTAATATTATTACCTTTCTTAAAACATTGTGTAATATCTATACTTCCTACCCTACTACCCGTAGGTGTCATTAAAATTTATTAGTTCAAATAATACACATCTTATTATTTTAACAATATCTGACATTAGTGCATGGGCTGAAAAAAGAGGCGGGATATTCTTATCTTCAGCTTATTCAAGATGATATCAAAGGCCTTGTTGATGAAAAGAGGAATATTATTATCTCTTATTGTAAACGGTCTGCAAATCGCGTGGCTCATGCAATTGCTAGAGCTCATGTGAATTTACCAGATCAGCGAGTTGTGTTTGAGAGTGCTCCTACTTGTATTTATATCCAGTTGGCTAACGATATTTTGGATTAATATATGAATTATGTTTGACGATTAAAAAAACACCAACTGCTGCTTAAAAAAACACTTTGAAGCCAAAAGTTGGAAGCTGGTCTTAGGTGCTTTTAAGTTTTAACTGCTTTTCGGTTTTATTGTAACTAATTCAAACTTTAGGGGTAATTATAATGATATATGCGATCAATTAAAGTCCACTATACCCTTCTCTTTGTTGCATTCTTTACACCATCGCTCTCTCCCACTGACCGATCAACTGTACCAAACCTCCTTCGCAACAGCTAGCAAATGCTTGGAATTTTACCTCATATCATCTTCCAACCCTTTCTAAAACCCCATCCATCATGTAAAGGTTTTAAAGAGTATATTTATGTAGTCCCTCTATTTCTCTGTGCATTAAAGCTTCGGAAATGGTGAAAGTAAAATAGGAGCTTGTTAAGCCGGCCCATGGATCCATGGAGGTTGGGATCTGAAGAAGACGAAAGCTCATGGATGTATTATTTTGTAGAGAACTCAATTCAACCTTAATTATGTATATCCCTGCTATTCTGCTAAGAAATCAGTTGAATCTAAAGCCAATAATTTCAAAGACAAATTTCTAGCTAGTTGAAATTAATCCTGAGCTGGAAGTCCCCGTTTGGGAAATAACAGGTCTCCATGTAATCAATCATCTCATGGGAAATAACTCAGCTCGAGGGAGTCAGGGAAGTTGCTCCATAGATGATAACATGCGTAATTGGGTATTTAATTCAAACAAGGACATTTGTGTACTTTTATAAACTATTACATCAGCAAACACTTTTTCATCAAACACTCCCTCTTTTTTTTTTACTGAGGGGCTGGAGTAATCAGGGCTGAAACCCAATCCATTGAGTAGGAATGTGACTAGCGGGATTCGAACTCGAGACCTTCCACTAGGAACAGTAAACTTTTACTTTTTAACACTTTCTGAAAGGACGTTTTTTCCTATGACTGAGTTCCCTAGGGTGCGCCGCTGGGGTTGGTCTTCCGATTTCGATCTCCACGATCGAAGATCGGTTTTTATTTTCTTGATATTGTTTTCAATCTCGTCGTTAAGATAGGGTTGGGCTGAGGTCTTGTGTCTTTGGAGTGAGCTATCGTCGGAAGTGCTCGGCGACTTCTGTTTGTCTAGACTTCGGCCGAGGAAGTATGGAGGGGATGACTTCGAATTAGGGGGTTTGCAGATGGATGATATTGTAAACAACTATAAAAAGATGGCAATTGGAGAGGAAGGTAACGGGCTCGACTTCGATACGGAAGAGGCAGGGGATTTGAACGCGGCAGAGGAGCAAACGGGTTTCGTGGTGGTCGGTGCAGTGGTTACAGACCGGAAAATCAAGTTTCCAGTGTTTCAGGAGCTGTTGGCATCAATCTGGCGTCCCGGGAAGGGAGTTGCAATCAAGGAAATTGGAGAAAAAATGTATCTTTTCACTTTTAATCATGTTTTGGATATGAATCGTGTGTTGGAGGATGGTCCTTGGTTGTTTGAAAGAGATTTATTTCTAATGAAAGCGGTTCAGCCAGATGACATTCCTGAAAAGATGAGTTTATTTGAGGTATAATTTTGGGTACAAGTTCATAATGTTCCTCATAAGTTTAGAAATCTAGGTTCTGCTAGGAGAATTGGGAATTTTATTGGCTCTTTTATCAATTTTGATAACAACCAATATGGTGGTAAATGAAAATCATATATGAGAATTAGAGTCTGTATGGATGTTAGGAAACCCCTGAAGAAGGAAGGAAAGGGACATTGGGTAGATTTCAAATATGATAAACTGCCCAATTTCTGTTTCATGTGTGGGGTAATTGGGCACTCGGATAAATTTTGTCCTATGAAATATGAGGAGGGGATTATTCTTGAGAAATCCTTTGGGGTGGAGCTCAAGGCTGGTGGAGGGGTGAAGACTAGCCCTACATGAACTAATAAGTGGCTAGTCGATGATTCTTCAAGCTCTGGGGGATTCGGCCTACAGCGTAAGACTGATCTTGGGGATGAGCAATCGGCAGAGACTGGTGCTAGTGTGTCAAAGCAGGGGGGAAGACGACATGGAAGGTGCCAGGCGAGACGAAGCGTAGAAGGATCTGGGAAGGAAAGCCAAAAGGAGTCATAGCTGGTGAGGACATGGCGCTTGATGGACCAAAAAATGGGGAGGCGGCGGGTCAGGTCTCCTAGACCCGCCGGTGGTACACCTGGTGATTCTGATCAGAAGATCAAGTGCTGGGTTTTGTTTTTACTTTCTATTTTTATTGTTATTTACACGGTTAGACTTTTATTTTCTATTTTTACTCTTTCATTCGCTGTAAAACTCTTGCATTAGGTTGGGGGTTGAAACGCCTACGGTAATCGTCGTTGGCTTTAATTTGCCCAGGTTAGGTCTAACGAGTTATATTGTTTTGTAATATGTTATTAACTCAAAGTTTCGGCCAAGAACAGATGATTACATGTGGTCATTTCGCTATCTTTCACCCCTGTTGAATGTTATTTTATTAATATAAGCTCCCTTCGATAAAAAAACACTTTCTCTAAAATAATTAAAAAAAATCTCTTTTTTAAAGTTGAACTAATCGCAAACACTCTCTTAGGACATCCCCGTCCATATATTATTTTTGGGATCATTTTGATGATGTGGAGGATTTTTTGGGATCACGGATGAGAAGTTGAGATTATTTAATAGAATAATCTGGTATCAAATTCTAAAACTGGATTATTTTGAGATTATTTCCAACTTTTAGACTCCTCTCTCCATTTTCTAGGCATATAAAATATAGGTAAATTAAGATCATCAATGAGTAGAAATTTATTGGTTTGGAGATTATTTGAGATTATCTTATGTGGATGTAACATGACAATAATAAGCCATAAAATATCATAATCGGGTCTCAGGTCCGGTCCGGTCTAGTTTTTGAATGATGAAACAATCTCTCAAAAGTTTAAAACCCCAAAGCTAACACTGGAAATTCGGAGTAGTGAACAAAGTTAGATATGGAACTAAACAGACCATAAGAACTACAACTGCATTAACCTTACTCAGAATTTGTTTCAGCCATTAAACTGTTCCTGAATTTCTTCACATCTTCCACAGCTGCCGCCCGAAACAAACCGATATCGACAGTTCCAGACACCATATGGTACCCTCTTTCCTTCATCTTCTCAGGCTTATCATGCGGCATTGCAAACCCCGCCAAGTACGCCCCATTTCCTCCGCCGGGATTCGTCTCCAGCACCGCCTTCTCCGCCTTCCTCAACACTTCCCTCACCTTCTCGTGACCCGGGTCCGACAGGTACCCCAAAGAAGCGCTCAGATCTAACGGCCCCATCTGGACGCAATCGACGCCCTCCACGGCGGCGATCTCCCCGATCTTCTTCACCCCGCTCTCGCACTCCACCTGGCACATTATAAGCAGCTCCTCCTCGTAATTTCTCAGATACTCTCCATTGATTCCGTAGCCCGAAGCCCTAACCACCGTATGCGCCGACCCGCGGATTCCGCTGCGGGGGAATCGGCAGTAGGAAACGGCCTTCCGGGCCGATTTGGCGCTGTCGATCATCGGAAACATGATCCCCTGCGGGCCGAGATCGAGGGCCTTCTTCGCCCAGACGTCGGAGGATTCGGGGACGCGGAGGATGGCCGGAGTGCGAGTGGCGGCGAGGGCGCGGAGGCAAGGGAGGGCGTCGGATATCCCGCCGTGGCCGTGCTCCATGTCTACGACGGCGAAGTCGTAACCGGCGAGGCCGGAAATCTCAGCGAGAGTGGGGGAGAAGCTGAGGAGGAAAATCCCGTAGAGCGTGTCGCCATTCCTGAGGCGGGATTTCAGGGTTAGAGGAGCGACGGGTTGTGCAGTGGCAGGGGTACGAGTTGCAGAAGATTGAAGCATAGAAACTTGCTTCCGGTCGGAATTTAGGGTTGAAATGGATGAGAAATTGGGTGCTGAAAGAGTGAAAGAAAGAAATGAAGGATTTGGAGGGATAGAAGTGAAAGACGGCCTTTTTAGGGCACGATGAATAGACGATAGAGTAGAGGAAGAAAGAGTCGCCATGTTTCCACTTCAGTGGCCAATTTTGCGGCTTGTCTCACTTCTAGAAGATGATGGATTGTTTAAGTTTTTAGTCTTCCTATTCAAGGGGATTTTGATTTTGCACCGTTTTATTTCAATATATCACTTTCTTCCTCATTAAATTTTTATTATTACGGAGTATGATAAAACACCTATATTAAAATTAAAAATATTGAACTTAAAATGGAGACAGTCAGGTCAAGACAAAAGACCCCATAATCCAGTTTTTACAATTAATAAAACATTTAGTGTAATAGTTGATTACACCAAAAACTAGATGATTTTTTTACAAGAATATTACTAAAATAAAACATATTTACATAAATATGACTATTCATTATTACAATGTGGTGTTGTGGTAACATAAGCTCAAAACTTGAACATGAATTACTATGATTTCATTACTACTCTAGTCACTAGTCATATTTTTGTAAATCATGTTTATTTTGATCATATTTATGTAATTATTTCAAACTAGATTAGACAATTAATAAAACTTTTACAATTAGTAATACATAGTATATACTCTGATTAATTACAGAGTATGTATTAAACAAGATTTAAGGGCCTTTTTCATGAATATTACTAATTTAGAGTCTATTTCCAAAAATGTGACCACTTTTACAAAAGGACAAAAATGTGACCCATTAGATCATATATTTGAAAAACATAGTTCTATTCTGTCATGTTTTTATGTCACTGTTAGCTGTTATGTCAATGATCTTATGTCACTTTTGAATGTCACTGCCGGTTTTCATGTCACTTTAATGTCACTTCCGCCGTCAAACGTGTCACTTTGTCATCGTCAACTTGTCATTGTTGTTAACCATCTATGCTCCAACTTCTGGCTACAGGGATACCTCCGTAGTGACATCTCCACTGCCGGTGTCATTGCCGCCGTCGGTGTCACTATGATTGCCGGAAACGTAAATTTCAACCAAATTTGGCCGCCACGCCAACGGCACCGCCACTGTTGCCTCCCCAACCCCCATACCCCTCCCCAACCCACTACCCCCCTCCCTATCCCACTACCCCCCTGCCCAACATATCAACCCCCTCCCCATCCCCAAACCCCCCTCTCCAGCAATCTCCTCCCATTCCCTTCCCCGGCCCTGCCACAAACCCTTCCATTCCAGCTCCATTGCAGAGGTGATGAAGAGGAGAGCGATGGGGCTAACGGTGATGAAAGGGGAAGGAGTTGCAATGGCGGGGTAGCCGACGTCGCCATAGCTCTTTGTCGCTAAATCGATGCGGGAGAATGATGAAGGCTGGTCTCCATCCTCGTCGCAGGGTCCGGTCACCATCTTCGCTGCACAGTTGCAATTGTCGAAGAATTGTGGGTAGCGTAGAAGACGGGCCGTAGATGGGGCGCTGGAGAGACAGAAGGGAGACTTTTATTTTAACAAGTCACTTTTTTGTCCAGGTCAAAACAGGTAATATTTTGTCCATCCAAAATGTACAAGTAATATTGGTGCTATTCATTCAAGATTTAACTTTATCATCTATCAACCATACCAAATCAGAACAAAAACTTTTTAAAGGGAGGTAGTGAGTGGCATTTATAAAGTGTGTGGGATAATTGAGAAGTTATTATTTTGTATTCTATAAGTTGTTTGTGTTATTTAAGAAGAAAATAGTATGTTTAATATAAAATAGGAAAAATTGAAAATAATAATCCCAACTATTGCCGGTCCGCTGAAAATAATCCCAACTATTGATTATTTTTGTATAATCCCAACTATATAGACTATCCGCCAATAATGGTCCATGACCATATATTATCTCTATAAAAAGTGAATTTTAAATAGAAATTAAGCGTAAAAATTAAAAGTTGAGATTATTTATAGGGATTACTTGTTATATTTCATCTCATCCACTTTAGAAACTCCAGGAATTTATTCATAGGGACCATTATTGGCGGAAGGTCCCTAAAGTTGGAATTATTCTGTAATAATCAATAGTTGGGATTATTATGAGCGGACCGCCAATAGTTGGGATTATTACTATCAATTTTTCCTATAAAATATGTGACATAAAAGAAAAGGTTAGAAAGAGAATGTGTTGAGAAGATGAAAATAATGAAAAAGTAGAAAGCGAAAATAATTTATCAGAAGTTAAAAAGTGTGAGTAACTCATGCTAGTCGAACTTGGTCAAGTTTTAAAAGACAACCGAAGTATAATTTTATTTCTATAACTTACAGTAATTCAAAACTTCTCAAAAGGAACATGTGACCATTGATAGAGGAATAAGGGAGTAGTATCTCGACTAGATCCCCAACGGCCGAACTTAACCTTATCCACTGATTCTAGCTGAACCCATTATAACCGGTACCGTGCTGTTATAGTCTTAGGGAATAGGGATCACAAGTCACAACCGCCGCAAGGTCCACCCGTAGTATAAAAAGTAAGTTAAATGGCGAAGGGAACTTGGCCTTTTACTATGTTTTATTAGTGAACCAGGTATTTTTTGTATGAATAAATGGATAGCCATTTTAGTAGTGTTTAAAGTCGATGATGCAGAAAAAATCAACTGGGATAATAATATATGTAGAAATAACCAGTCATATTCTTTTCAATGTTGATGTTCAGTGAAATAAACGTGAAAGCAAAAATGACACCTAAAAGTTGGGAAAACACAGCAGCGAAGAAAAGAGGATCAAAACAAGATAAATAGCAATCAATTGCAACTATCAAATGCTTTCAGTAACATTGGGGCTTTTTTTTGTTAATTTAGAGCTGTAGAGCAGCTTTTGCCATAGATAATGCTCCTTCATAGGTTTGGTTTCCACCAATAAACCCACTCATGTGGACAAAAACACAACCAGGAACCCCTGACTCCTTTGAAAGCTCAGCATCTCTGAGACCTCTCCACTGTGACGGTAATGGCTTACGGCTCTCAAATCTGTCTGGAGAGACAGCCACTGCCTGTACTCTCCAACCTTTGCTTCTATCATCCTACAAATCATAATCAGGAAATTTAGTTCTTTGGAATTGTTCAAACAAATACACATACCAAAACATTGGATAGCAATTTCTCCATACTAAAAGAGCTCGAGGAAAGCACAAGCATAAGTTGTTGGGCTGTAGGCTTCGGCCCACTCAGACCTGGGAGTCATTTAAACAAAGAGCAGCAGCCTGCTCTAGTTAAATGTGCAGGCAGCCCTAGTTGGGCCTATTTCTTTGATGGCAGTCAGGCCCAGAACCTGATTTAAGTGCTTTACCCTAATTGTTTGCCTATATATTGACTCATGTACTTGTAAAACTATTATCTGTATCATTCATCATCTCAATAAAGAAGAAAACCCTAGTTGCCCCCGTGGATTAGGTCAGTAACACTTACTGGCTGAACCACGTTAATTTCTGTGTGCCGTTTCTTCTCGTTCTTTTCTCGTTTTCAGATTTGTGTGTGTGTGCGCCCTAACCTTAACAACTGGTATCAGAGCCAGGTTAGCCACCACCACATATCTGACCACCACCACTGCTGCCGCCCTGCGTCCATAGCCTCTTTGTGCCGCCAACAGTGTGCTGCCGCAGAAAAACACAGCTGGCAGATTGTAAAGGTTTGGGACAATGGCAGACGACGGAAAAACCAAAGTCGAGAAGTTTGATGGACAAGATTTTGGATGGTGGAAGATGCAAATTGAGGATTTGCTGTGTCAGAAGGATCTGGATCAAGCCTTGACAGGAAAGAAACCAGAAAAGATGAGTGATGATGAATGGACTGCTCTAGACAGGAAAGCTTTGGCTGTTATCAGATTTACCCTAGCCAAGAGTGTGGCGTTTAACATCTTGAAGGAGACTACTGCATGTGGTTTGATGAAGGCTTTGTCAAACATGTATGAGAAACCATCGGCGTCAAATAAGGTATTTTTGATAAGACAGCTAGTAAACACCAGAATGAAAGAAGGTGCTTCTGTTACTTCACATATTAACGAGTTCAATACTATCATATCCCGCTTGCTATCTGTTGATATTAAGTTTGAAGATGAAGTCCAAGCTTTATTCTTGTTATCCTCATTACCAGAAAGTTGGTCAGGAACAGTCACTGCCATTAGCGGTTCAACTGGAACTTCTAAACTCACATTTGAGGGCATTCGTGACATTATCCTTGGAGAGGATATAAGAAGGAGGAGTTCTGGAGAATCTTCTAGTGCTTTGTTAAGCACTGAAGGGAGAGGTAGAAAGAAAGAGAAGGGAAATAGCAGAGGCAGATCAAAGTCTAGAAAGAGGAGCCAATCAAAGCCGAGAAAAGATATTCAATGCTGGAACTGCAAAGAAACTGGGCATTTCAGAAATCAATGCCCTAAATCATCAGAAAGGAAGGAAGTGAATGCAGCCACTGACGATTCAGATGATGCTCTTATTTGCTGTGTTGAAAACTCAACAGAGTCGTGGATTATGGATTCCGGTGCATCTTTTCATGCTACTTTCAGCACAAAGATGATAAAGAATCTACGGACAGGTAATTTTGGTAAAGTTCGTTTGGCTAATAACGACTCTCTTGACATCACAGGGATGGGTGACATAGACTTAAAGACTTCTTTGGGCACCACTTGGACATTGAAAGACGTTCGGGTCATTCCAAGCCTTAAGAAGATGCTGATTTCTATTGGGCAGTTGGATGATCAGGGATTTGATGTTACATTTGGTGAAGGACAATGGAAGGTTGTCAAGGGGAATCTTGTAATCGCTAGAGGCAAAAAGAGGGGTACTTTATATATAAATGAAGCCCCTGATGATGAGATGAATGCAGTGACCTGCGGGCTGAATCCATCCAGTTTGTGGCATCAACGGCTTGGCCACATGAGTGAAAAGGGAATGAAGATGCTCGTTGCAAGGGGGAAACTTCCAGATCTGAAAAAGGTGAATTCTGAGTTCTGTGAACCTTGTGTTCTTGGCAAGAAAAAGAAGGTTTCTTTTTTGAAGACAGGCCAGACACCGAAAACTCAGAAGTTGGAGCTAGTTCACACGGATGTGTTTGGCCCGACGCCAGTCTCTTCCCTGGGAGGATCAAGCTACTATGTGACCTTCATTGACGACTCAACACGCAAGGTATGGGTCTACTTTCTTAAAAATAAGTTTGAAGTTTTCAATATTTTTAAGAAGTGGAAAACTGCTGTTGAATTGGAAACTAATTTGAAGGTAAAGTGCTTGAAATCGGACAATGGCGGTGAATACATTAGCACAGAGTTTATTGATTATTGTGCTGAACATGGCATTCGGATGATAAAGACGGTTCCAGGCACTCCTCAACAGAACGGAGTGGCAGAAAGGATGAACAGAACTTTGAATGAGAGGGCCAGGAGTATGAGACTCAATGCTGGGCTTCCAAAGACGTTTTGGGCTGATGCAGTGAATACTGCTGCTTATCTTATCAACCGGGGGCCATCAGTACCATTAGGTTTCAAGATACCGGAGGAAGAATGGAAAGGAGAAGCTGTCAGGTATGGGCATTTAAAGATATTTGGTTGCAGCGCTTATGATCTTATGAAAGATGGTGACAAGTTAGATGCTAAAGCCAAGAAATACACTTTCATTGGATACGGGGGAGACAGCATGGGTTACCGGCTTTGGGACTGTGAAAGCAGAAAGGTAATCAGAAGTAAGCATGCTACATTCAACGAGGCTGAACTTTATAAAGACAGAAGCACGGCAAACTCAAAGATTCAGAAAGAGCAAATTGAGTTTGAAAATGAAGTCATCAGAAACAGAGAGTCTGAAGATACTCAAGGCAGTGGGAGCATAGAGAATGATTCCAGTACTGACGAGCTTGAGGATAATCAAGGAGATTCTGTTGATAGTGACAATTCAGAAGATGAATCTGCAGCTTCACCCATGCAGCCACAGCCAGTTGAAACACAGTGGGTCAGGAGATCCACTAGAGTCACTAAACCTCCAGAAAGATTCAGTCCATCAGTCAATTACCTTCTTTTGACTGAAAACGGAGAACCAGAAAGTTATCTTGAAGCAGTAAAGCAGAATGATTCGTTTCAGTGGGAGCAGGCTATGAAGGAAGAAATGGGTGCCTTGCACAAGAACAAGACATGGGTTCTTACTAAGCTTCCGCCAAGCAAGAAGGCACTTCAAAATAAATGGGTATTCAGAATCAAGGATGAGCCTGATGGGTCTAAACGGTACAAAGCCCGTTTAGTGGTCAAAGGTTTTCAGCAGAAAAAGGGAGTGGATTATAATGAGATATTTTCCCCAGTGGTTAGAATGACCACCATCAGATTGGTTCTAAGCATTGTAGCTGCAGAGGGCTTACATCTAGAGCAATTAGATGTTAAGACAGCATTTTTACACGGTGACCTTGATAAGGATATCTATATGGCACAGCCTGAAGGATTTCAGATTGCTGGTAAAGAAAATATGGTCTGCAAACTAAAACGAAGCTTATATGGTCTGAAACAAGCTCCGAGACAGTGGTATTTGAAGTTTGATAACTTCATGATAAGGACAGGGTACAGAAGATGTGAGATGGATCATTGCTGCTACGTAAAGAGGTTCAAGAGTTCATATATCATTCTACTTCTCTATGTAGATGATATGTTGATAGCTGGTGCAGATATGAAAGAGATCAGCAGGTTAAAGAAGCAAATGTCTCAAGAATTTGAAATGAAAGATTTGGGTCCAGCCAAACAAATACTCGGAATGAGCATAGTCCGAAACAAGGAGAATGGTTCTTTAACACTATCCCAGGAGAAGTACATTGGGAAAGTGTTGGAGAAATTCAATATGAATGGTGAGAAGACTAAACCGAGAAACACGCCTTTGGGAAGTCACTTCAAGCTTACCAAAGACCAATCTCCGAGAACAAACGAAGAGAACGCAGAAATGGCTAAAGTTCCTTTTGCATCTGCAGTTGGTAGCCTCATGTATGCTATGGTGTGCACGAGACCAGATATAGCTTATGCAGTCGGAGTTATTAGTCGCTTCATGTCAAAACCGGGGAGAGAACATTGGGAAGCAGCCAAATGGATACTTAGGTATTTGAAGGGTACTACAAAGATGGGGTTATGTTTCCGAGGTAAAGACGTAATTTTAAGAGGGTATTCTGATGCTGATTTGGGTGGATGCAAAGAGACGTTCAAAAGCACTACGGGGTACATTTTCACAGTGGGAGGAACCGCAGTTAGTTGGATGTCCAAACTTCAGAAAAGTGTAGCTCTCTCAACAACTGAAGCAGAGTACATGGCAGTTGCTGAAGCCAGTAAAGAGCTGGTTTGGTTGAGAAACTTTCTTGAAGAGTTAGACAAAAAGCAAGCAGATTACTCATTACACTGTGATAATGAGAGTGCAGTGAAACTTGCCAATAATCCAGTGTATCATGGGAAAACGAAGCACATTGGGATGAGATATCACTTTGTTAGAGGGTTGATCAGTGAAGGAACGATGAACTTGAAGAATATCTCAGGTGCAAAGAATCCAGCAGATATGTTCACTAAATCTGTGACGCTGGACAAGCTGAAGTTCTGTGTAACTTCAGCTGGCCTTCAAGAATAATGTTGAGAAGGCAGGTGGCAACTAGGAGAAGCTAAGCACAGATGAAGTTTACAGAAGTACAGAGGAGTGGAGTGCAGTTGATTGTGTTTCGAAGCCTCCAAGTGGGAGATTGTTGGGCTGTAGGCTTCGGCCCACTCAGACCTGGGAGTCATTTAAACAAAGAGCAGCAGCCTGCTCTAGTTAAATGTGCAGGCAGCCCTAGTTGGGCCTATTTCTTTGATGGCAGTCAGGCCCAGAACCTGATTTAAGTGCTTTACCCTAATTGTTTGCCTATATATTGACTCATGTACTTGTAAAACTATTATCTGTATCATTCATCATCTCAATAAAGAAGAAAACCCTAGTTGCCCCCGTGGATTAGGTCAGTAACACTTACTGGCTGAACCACGTTAATTTCTGTGTGCCGTTTCTTCTCGTTCTTTTCTCGTTTTCAGATTTGTGTGTGTGTGCGCCCTAACCTTAACATAAGTTGGTCCATTACTACCTCATAAAGAACGTATTTGGTTGGTGGATCAATCTTCAACTCCTCCTCAAGCTCAAACAAGTGAAGCTTCCACTGTTTGAGCAAACATATTATCAGTATGTTATCATATTGCACATCTGGCGATTTATTATCAACTGTAGCTTTGAGGCTTATAACTAAAGTAGAGTATTTGTAGGTAAAATAATTAGCTATAATATTGAAATATATAGCTCAGATAAATATCAGAAGTTTAGACCAAACTGTTCAAACTTGTGGATTGTTTATCTTGAAACAAAGTGTAAATGAGTCAAACTAGTTAGGGTCAAACACTTACTGGGCAAAATCTATTTAAAACCATAATTTCTCCACTGGGATCGACATCCTTTCTTGAAGCAAGACACTCCAAAACAATTGATCGGGCAGGCAACCATGATTTTGCATAATAACGAACACTCTGAGAATATACGGACATGTTAAGTACATAGAAACAATAGTAGATAAGAGCAAGTGAGTCATTAACCCTTGAATATATATATATATATATATATATATATATATATATAGAGAGAGAGAGAAGTCTCCAGAGAAAACTTTTCCTAGAAAAGGATGTATATAAATGTTTTCTGAAGATTTTGAAGGAGTCTTACATCCATAAACTCACTGCCAGCTAAAGACATCGCACGAGAAAAAGCTTTATTCTCATTTTCTGGAGATTGATCAGATTCAGTCCAATCCAAGTTTATTCTCCCAACCCGGGAAGACAAATGTGTATTATTGACATATTTGGGGGGTTGGTCCGTGTCATACTGATTAACTCCATTGTCTATAGCATCAATAGCCTGTTAAAAGCATTAGATAGGATTTTAACCACAACAAGTAATTCAATTTCTATTTGCTGCTGCTAAAAAAGAAAGAAGAAACTGCACGAAAAAATGAACAAATGACTCAAAAAGAGTGATGCAACAAGATGAGTTAATTAAATCTATGTAACTCAGTGGTTTGACGGTCTGACTATGCAGACCTGGCCATTCATTTTTTATAGAGGTTGAATTGAAACAAGATTTTTTACCATACAATGAATACCTGTAGTCTTTTTAAATAACCCCCTGTCCCTGATAAATCTTTATGCTTTCCTTTTAGTCATATCCCAACTAAATCTTTACATAACCTATATTAGCAAACATCATACACTAAATTTCCATTACAACCTTCATTTTTTTGTTAACTGCCCAACAAATTTAATCCCCCTCCATCCCACCTTCTGCTCTCTCATACCCAACTTTCCTTCTTCAGGTTGTCAGCTCATATCTCTCCATCCATCTATATCTCAATCTTCTCCCTCTTGATCTCTCCCTCCATCTACTCTCTCTGAATCAACTATCTCTTCAGGTCATCTGCTTCAAATCTGAAACCCTTCTCCGTGGTATTCTAGACTCTCCGTCTCACCTTTAATGCTACACCACTCATCACCGAAAAGGCTCTACGTTGCACGAGCTCTCCATCAATTCTCATCTTCTCCATTCAATAACAGTATCTAACTATCTATCCGTTTTCTCCGTATCCTAAAGACTCAATGCCATAGGTGGAGGTAATTTGAGGGCCCATTCAAAAGAAATCAGAAGAATTCAAAGAGTTTACCCTCTAATAAAATCACTCAATTTCAGATTTTATTGATTTAAAGAGAGCACACAATCTAAAATTAGGAGTTGACAATTTCTATTTTTTATCTTTCTCCGTCAAAGAAGGTTTACTATTTATTCTCTTGCTATTTCAAACAAATAGCAAGAGAAGATAGAGCTGAAGAAAAGAACAAAGGGCATGGTAGGAAATTTGAGGCTGGAAACTGCTCTCTCAAAACACTGTGTCGATACCAACTGTCAGGATTTATGGGACAGATGGAGTATTATATTTTTGGAATTTTAAAAACACCATACAGTATAATTTTTCCACAAATCATTACGAATCATTTTGGATGTTAAACCTATTTCTAGAATTTCATTATAAAAATAAAGAGCAAGTTGTATGGTTCAACTAGTGATCCACTAACACCAAGTCTGAGCTGTAGGACAAGACAAGATTGCAAATGCAACAATGAAAGATGATTGTGTGCTGTAAGCTCTAAATAAGAATATAATTCTCTTCACCTCCATGAAGCTCCTGTAAACTGCTAAAAACAACCTCTGCACATCTGGATGTTCTTCTTCAACTTGAAGCTCTTTTGCAATAATCTCCTTTCCAAAATGCTACAGAAAACAAACAATGGGATTGCTATAAGGCATGATTAACCAGCAGAATCGCATGACAATTGACAACTATAACACTGATAACATTAGTCCCTATATCCTTCATTACCAACTTCAACCATAATTCTGACAAAAAAGGGTGAGGTAATGACAAAATAGCCGGCTATGTCTCTGTAGTTAGCTTTACCTTGTAAACAAGACCAGCACTACTGAGCTTAGTGTTAAATCCATGCCCAAAGATCTCCTCAAATCCCTTCTGATGATGGTCATACCGGTCTCTACTAGGATCATAAACCCCTCCAACATCAAGAACAGCGTCAAGCGACTCCAAAACCTTCGCCATAACAAACATTTCAACAAACAGTTTGCCTGCAAGAACAACTCCTTGCAAACGCGAATGCATATAAAATCCTTGGCTATACTCTGGAACCAAGAAATGAACTGAAGGGATGAAAAGCGAAAAATGTTACCTGAGAGTCACGGGTGCGGACGATTTGGGCGTCCTTGAACTTGTTGGTGAGGCGGATCATATAGCAACCAAGAGCTTCGTCACAGTGGAAGCTGCCATTGTGAGTGCCAACTCGTTTCAGAGCGGAGGAGGAGGAGAAAGCTTCAGCGGCGGTAGTGATGGTAGCCATGAAAGGTGACTTCAGGAGGTCAAGTCTGGGGAAGTTGGACAGCCCTCTTGAGACAATACTCTTCATGCCTATAAACTGTACATTGGGCAGCTTTTAAATGTTGGCTAAAATACGGAGTAATACGTAGCGTCCCTCCATAAATTTGGCTAACATTCCATTTTTTTCATTATATTTGTAGTAGCAAATTAGGGATAATAATACACTTTATTAGCTAGGGAATGTTTGCAGATAGTCAGATACCAACACAAAACTTTCTGGTGTTTGGCTATTGTAATCAGGGGCAGATTTAGGGGGGCGACCGCCCCCCTTGAACATTCAATTTTTTTTATCATATACTCCCTCCGTCCCGTTAAGATTGTCCCATTTTATCTTTTCGGTAAGTCCCACTAAAATTGTCCCATACCAAATTTGGTAAAGATTGTGTGGTTCTAAATCATTCTTACTTTATTTTTACTTTATCAATTTAATATCAACCACACAAACTCACTTTTCTTAATAATCGTGTCACCTTCTTCCGTCCCAATCTTAGTGGGACGGAGGTAGTATGTAATATTTTCATAAAACTTTCATAATTTAATTAGATTCGCCCCCCTTAGCTTTTAATTTTCAAAATTAAAAAAAGGATAAGTTTTAAAATGCAACAATGCAAATATATGCAAAATACACCGCAAATTTGTATACGTAACACCTTATTCTTCTTCCCTTTAAAAGTGCAAAATTAATAATAACATCAGATTAACTAATACTTTTTTCAACCACTAGTACTTGAGCTCTCACCTTGTCTGCCGTATATACTAGGGAGTAATAATAATTACTAATATAAGGTACTCCGTATATTTATTGTTTCAATTATTCTTAGGTCCTAGCCAGTTAAACTTTATAATCCTAGGCTTTAGGCGGTTAGGCCTTTACCCTTCACTGAAATATAGAATTACAGCCTTACAAGCGGTTAACTTTACTCAATTTATCAGCGGACGTGCTTGGCGCACTTTCTAAGTTACTTGGCGTACCGTTTTTACTCCACTAATGGACTGATTTGTCCTCTCGCAATTTTGCTCACGAAACTTAAGAAGCACATCCATTGTAATGCTCTTCAAATTTGCCCACTTTCCTAAAATTGAATCCTAAGGCTTTACTCCGTATTAATTAAAGAAGCAATATACTCAACCACGTTTTTTAACTTCATTTAGAAAAAATAATTATCTAAAATATACTCAGAATCTTAATCGTAATGGATTACAAATTTCAACTACCACCAAACATATAAATATTTGTAACATAGTATAATGTTCTTATAAGTTTTTTTACAATCTTCTTACCTAATGGAGGATGAATATCAATTTGATATTCATCAAATTGTCTAGAAAATTATACTCTTGACTTTCATTCTTATGAGTATTTATTTATCATAATTTATACAGTATTAATCACATCATCTACCCCACTATTTGTATCTCAGTTTCTATTTCTGATCTGTTTCATTAAGTTTATCGCATACAATATTTGATAATATTTTGGTGATCATATATAATTTTCATTCATCTTCATATTCAATATTGTCTTTATTTTATTATCATATACGGTAATACGGAGTAACTATAATTGACACTTTTTAGGATGTTTCAAATTTGACGGTATACAATTCCGGACCACACCAGATTACATGTAAATAGACTAGATCAGATCAGGCCAACTTTTAATAGTTGTATAACACACATGGAACATACAGCTAACGTATCAGACTAGTTCAGACTAGTTTAAGTTTGATCTGGTCTGGTCTGATATGTTAGATGCATGTTCTATGTGTGTTATATAACTATCAAAAGTTGGTTTGATCTAGGTAATTTACATATAGTCTGGTCTGGTCTGGGATCATATATAGTCAAATTTAAAAAAAAAATCCTAAAAAGTACAAATTATATTTACTCTATATCACAGTGTATGATAATAATAATAGAATAAAGACAATATCCAATAGGGAAAGTTTACGAAATAGGACTAAAACAGTTTGCAAATTCCAAAATAAGACTGTCATCTTTTTTATTCTCAAAATAGAAGTAATTACTGTCAAGGTTGGAAAATACTGTCATGTTTGAAGTCTGGTACTGCCAAAACATGGCAGTAATTAATCATATTCTGTGAATAAAAACATGACAGTCCTATTTTGGAATTTTCAAACCTTTTTAATCCTATTTCGGGTAATTTTCTCTATCTAATACAAAGATGAATGAAACGTATATATGATCATTCAAATATTACCGAATATTGTATGTGATAAACTTAATAAAACATATCAAAAATAAAAACCGAGATACAAATTAAATAGTGGGAAGATGAAGTGATTAATATAAATTAAGAAGATCACCTCATAACAATGAAAGACAACAGTACAATTTTCTAGATAATCTTGAGATTCATCTTCCATTTTATAAGAAGATTGTGAAAAACTTATAAGAGCATTATACTATGTTACAATTATTTATATACTCAAATGGTTTTCTTCTCAAACTAGGAGTACTATACATTCAACATGACAATATTTATTATTAATGGAACTATTTTTTAATCATGCCAATATTTTTCAATCATCATAATAACGACTCATATTTCAGGAAGAAAAACAAAATAGTTCTATTTTGAAATTCTCGAAGTTTAGTCATATATATTTAATGCAATTTCCCTTATTTTTTAGGTTTAAAGTTCAAAAAATCTAACGCCATTGAGTGGATTGCTTTTAAAATTAATGAGTAAAATCTTAGGTTTTAACTTTAGGAAAAGGAACGATCAAAAAAAAACTTTAGGAAAGGAAAGAACAAATTTGTAAAGCGTTAGAATTAGTGGAAAGACTCTAAGAGGACCAATCCGTCCAAGAGTGGAATATTAGAGGCGCGCCTAGTCACTTTGGTGGTGCACAAAGCAACACCCTTTATCAATTACTCATTTAGCCATTTAGGAGTGCAATTAGAGATGTAGAGAAATCAGAGATTCAGATTTCAGAGAGAAAGACTCACGGAGGTCGGAGTCACAGTCAGCAGTCGGGCACTCAGCGGCGGCCGGTCATCGGCACTTCGAGTCTTCGGCAATCGCCAGTTCGGTGGATGGTCCGTAGTTGGTCCGCTTGATCGCTACTCGCTACTCCTACTCGACCTGTGACCTCTCGCTCAATCGCTATTCGCTTCGCTTGAAGAATTCAAAATACGCAGTTCGGCGCAAGGGTAACTGGGTAAGCACTAACGGCCTGTTTGGATTAGGGGTTGAAGGGTGTTAGTAATGGAAGTATTGAGGGGTGTTGGTCTTAACACCTGTTTGGCAGATTTTTTTTGAAACAAATGAAGTTATTAGTAAGTGTTTAAAAGTGTTAGAGAAAACCTTTCTAACACCTCAATAAGTGATTTTTTTAACACCCCAAATTGGAGTGTTTTGGAGTGCTAGACATATCTTGCCCCTCTCATTATTGTCGTTCTGCCTTCACCGCTTCTTCCTGCAATTATTTTACACGAATCAGGTCTGCAACGTTGCATTTTCTCTCATCAAACTGGTCCCTTAACAGGTCTCATCAGTCTCTCTATCAGCTGCCGCCCATGTCGTCGTCTTTCTTCCTTCAACCATGTCAGCGATTGAGAAGCAGAAGTATTTCCAGAGCATTCAAAGGCACACTCATTCGTCCCTGCTTCTCTGCCGGAAAATAGAGTAAAGCCAAAAGAAAATGAAAAAAGTGATTCAAAAAGTATAGCTACGAAGTGATTCACTCTTATCTCATCTGCTTTACGTAATAATTAATAGCTGATCAGTATGAGTAATAATGATCCATGTTGAGAAGGAACGGTGAATTTCCAGAGCATTATTCAAAGGCAAAGCCACTCATTTGAAGGAGCGATGGCTCAAAAATGTCTGATGGACAATACTGCGTATATTAGTTTTAGGATTTAGATGAGGATATTATTGTCAATTTAATCGAAAACACTTCCGTTATTAACGCTTCGTTTTTTAACTCTCCCAAACAAGGTAAGTTTATATTCTACACTTACACTTACTTTCCCGTTCGGGCCCATAGCAACACTTACTAACACTTCCGTTACTAACACCTTTCAACCCTTCATCCAAACAGGCCGTAAGCCGCAAGTCCGTAACCCGTAAGGCAGGTTTTGATTAATTATTATTATAAATTACTATTTTTATATAATAATAATAGTAATACTAATACTTTTTTTTGGAGGCCCCTTTTGCAAGTGAGGCCGAAGGCATTTGCCTGGGCAAACTCCCCATATAGCCGCCCCTCTGTTTGGCTTAGCATACAAAATGATTCTTCAAAATAATTTATGCATAAAAATAATTGTTTTCCCTTACAATGAATTAATTTTATATTCTAACCCTATTTGTATATCAATAGTTTCTGTTGTTTGGCTTAGCATACAAAGGGTATGTTTGGCAAATGGCTTATCAGCCGGCTTTTAGCTTGTTTGACCCATTTCAGCTGTTTGATTGGTCAAAGAAGCTAATAATGATGTTTGGTAAATGGCTTTTAAAATTAGCTTATTGAGTTTGAAAAGCTGAAAAAATGGATTGTTGAAGAAGCTAAGGGGCAGCTTATTCATTCGGATGGTTCAATTTACACTCTATCAGCCATTTCGAAACAACCAATTTTACCAAACAATTATCTATAATCAGCTAACATAACCAGCCGGTCAAAACAGCTAACACAACCAGCTGTTAGGAAACAGCTGACACAACCAACTAACAACAACAGCTAACAGCCATTTGCCAAACATACCCAAAATAATTGATGCATAGTGATTAGAGAGTATGTTTTGGAAAACCAAAAATGAGAAAACTATTTTGAACAAAAAGAGTTACTGATTTCCTTTTCTTGCAATGAATTAATTTTATATTCTGGCTCAACCCTGTGTTTTAGACTGGATCCGCGCCTACGTGAGAGCCTTGATTGTGATGATTTAGTCATAGTGTAAAAGACATAATGATACACTTGCTAACAAATTGAGAGATGGAGATGAGAGAGGGGGTGGGAGGGACCCAAGCAGACATGGAATCAAATGGAAACCAGAGATATTATACTCCATCAGCGGCGTGAGAGTATGGCATTGAAAAGTATATGTTCGATGGATTGATCTCTTTATACCATTTTTACTCCGATTTCATATGTCGATTCATGCTAGCCACTTAGTCGATCCATCTTGTTTAGGACTAGGGACATGTTTACTTTACTGTAATTCTTATTGCTAGCTTGTTAGCATAGGTAAAATAAATAACTTGTTGGAAAATGTCTGCTTAGTAAACATCTATTATTGGAGTATCTTGTATTGTTGCTTAGCAAGTTAGCAAGCATCCAACCTCGTCTATGTTAAGTTTTAATATTGGTAAATATATCTTTCCTTGCAACCCATAATAGAAGTCACCAAAGAGCCCCTACCCCAACACCGCACCCCTTGATGGGGCAAGTTGATAGAGGGTAGGAGTAAAGATAGGGCCATAGGGGTGGACTAGGCCGGGTCCAGGCTGGGCTCCGGATCAGGACTGGGCGGGCACTGGATCCAAAATTATCAGGCCTGGTACCGGCCCGGGTTTGTACCGGGACCGGGCCGGGCCGGGCTATCTGGGCGGTCTTCGGGACGGGACTGGGTCGGGTTGGACCAAACAATTTCAAGCCCAGATTTTGTTTTTTGGGGGGAATTCTTGAGCTTTAGGCCCGGCCCGGGTCCGACCCGATCCACTAAAATCAAAGTCCGGAACCACCTGCTTCTTCATCTCGGTCGAGCCCCGAGCTTGGTCCCAACTAAGCCAGGTCGAGCCTGCATAGTAACAGGTCGGCCAAGTCCAGAGTCGGGCCAACCCGTCCCGGTCCACCCGTGGGTATGCCTGGACTTGGGCCGGTTCGGGCCCGGTTCGGGCCTGGGCTCGGCCGGGCCTCGGGCCAAGAAAGTTGGGCCCGAGCCTGAACCGCCGGTGGGCGGTTCCGGTTCCGGGCCAAACCGAGCCGGGCCGGGCCGGGCCTAACCGGTTCTATTTTTTTTTTTTTGGCTTTTCTATTGAACCCCCAACCCCTCCCCCTCAACCCCAAACCACCCCAAACCACCTCAAATGGCCCAAAATACCTAATCCAACCCAAAACTTAAAAAAAATTCAAAAAAAAAAAAAAATTAAAAACCGGCCCGAACCGGGCCCGAACCGGCCGGGCCGGTTCACCAAAAACTGGGCCCGAGCCCGGACCGCCCAGCAGCCGGGCCGGGCCGAACCGAACTGGTGGACCCACCAGGCCCCGGGCCGGGCCGGGCCAAACAGTAACCGGGCTGGGCCGGTTCGGGGCCAGGCCGCCCGGCCCGAGTCCACCCCTACCCGTGGGGGTAAGGAGTGGGTTAGGGGGCAAGGTATGGGGAAGGAGGTTGTGGGGTTGAAAACGTGTCAAAGGTAAGGGGTAAAGTCCCTAAAGATTCTAATTGACGCTTTAAAGTTGAATCATATTTTAATAAATGCATCAATCTCATGAAAGAAATACGGAATATATGTTTATCAAGTGCTTTGTTAAATTGTAACTAAAGAACGGGTTAGTAAAACATATTTTAATAAAGAACACTTACTAATCCATGAAGTAATATTTTAACAAAGCGTACTTACTAATCCATGAAGTAAACAATGTCCTAAGACTTAAATGTTATTGTTGTTCTATTAGTCATTCTTTTAAGATGATGGATTAACAAATTATAGGACTTGCTATAGTAAATAAATAAATACTCATGATGCTCAACTGCTCATACTTGAAAAAAAACAGGCTATTGACAAAATTACAATTTCATGTTGCGTACGTGCATTGAAGGATCACTGAGTAATATATGCGTGTGCGTATAAGATCTAGAGGATACAAAACGGGATTAAATTAAATTCCCCCCACAATTACAAAAAGAAAAAAAAAAAGAAATAACCTCTACTGGTTTTCCTTTTCCTATATACGTAGTATATATATGTGATGATGACACTAAAAAGAAGCTTGTTCCTCTTGCATGGATCTGCACAACGAAGCTTGCTCCTCTTGCTCTGATAAATTAAAATGAGGGACTTGTAACTCTGTAAGCACACCATGGGTCACTTCTTCGTCAGTGCGAACAACGGCCATAGCCTTTCAAACAAACATCAGGTGGCAACAAAGGGAATCAGTCAATCAGCTGGCGAGCAACCTGCATTTGCACACTTCCTTCTGCTCCCCCATCCCACACAAGAGGTTTGAGAGGAAGAAAAAGGGTCAGTGATGGACAACAAAACCGTAAATGTGGGCATCATTAATTGAATAGAATATAACGCCAAACCTGAATATACATAGTTTTACATGAATGAGAATCATATGGCGTCAAGAATCCACTTCTCTTCTGTCTACATCCTCTCTTCTGCTTGACATTGCATTTAACCGTTGCTGTAACTGGTTGCAACAAAAGTAATATTAGTATTATCAATATACATTTATTGCAAAACTGTCAAAACAATAGTTTTTGTTTTTGTTAAATAGGCATACTTCTAATGATTAATGGTTTTATCCTACATTCAAGATAGAGGCTTATCGGAATACACTAATCTCAAAATTGTATGCTTATTTGGTTTTTAACCATGTCAAATTGCTTGTTTGAACTTAACGAGCGAGCAATACCAAGCTATGATTCCATAATGATGTTAGGATCAGCGACCCAAAGCTTTAGACGTGATTAATATATTTATATTTACTTGATGCAGGACTCTCCCTTGACAATACTAAAAGTTGGGGAGGGCCTGTCTTACTTTTACAGCTGTAATAACAAGGTTTGGTTTAACCTTGTTGATCACACATAAGAAATCCGAAGAAAACTAATCACCTGCAAGTACTTCAATTTTTCGGCAGTTAATTCATCAGTCAAGTTAACCATCCTGCAGAGAGAAAGATAGACAGCGCGAGTTGGGTTCCTTGAGCTACGGGATATATATGATGAAAAAATGAAATGAATCCGATATTTATAAACAAACCTTGTTTGGAGCTCACAAACTTTAACTAGAAGCAAACGTTCCCGCTCCGAAGTAGCTGTATCCACCTGCAGTGTTGTATCCAAAATGTGTGCTTTTAAAAAGATATAATAATCCTAATTTTAGAACTACTATGATTGTCCAGTAGTCAAACTTGAGATCCTACGTAGGATCAGAAATTTGAATAAGGAATCGTAAATCATAGGATTGTGACTCGGATCATAAGATCCTACAAAATATATACTTACATATACATATACATAGGGGACAGGTACAAACTGTATTGTGCGATGCAACTTTACGTTATTTGTATTGCATATTGAGGTTCAAAGTGTTGCATATTATTCAGCCATAAAATATCATTTGCGTATAAACGTTCAAAGAGTTGCAACCTAAAAAGTTGGCTTTTATTACAAAAATATCACCATGTCTTTATAGCCTTTAGATCAACTCATTGGATGGTCAAGATGAGTTTGTAGTTTGTAAATTAAGGAGGATTTGTATTTGATCTCCATTCCATATACATATATATGTATATATGTGTGTGCATATGCATACATATGGTTAAATGTAAAATATAATAAAAGTTTTATATTTATAATAAACAAACAATCTAACATGATTTTACTTAATACTACCTCCGTCCCTTAAAACTTTGCCAAAGTTGACCGACACGGAAAATAATAAAGTAAAAATTGTGTGGTTGAGGTTTGTGCAGAGGAGAGAGAAATAACAGAAACCACAAAATAATTGATTAAAAGGGAAAGTGACAAAGTTTTTTGGGACGTCCCAAAAAGGAAAGATGACAAAGTTTTAAGGGACGGAGTGAGTAACACTTAATTAAAGTATTAATATATAATTAATTAATATATAATATACTTCGTAATTCATACTAACTCTTCAGAAACGAACGAACAACAGAATGAACCTCTTGCACTTGTCGTTGACCACTCAGAACCGAGAGATGGAAGTCGACCTTCGAGTCTTCGACGCAGAGGTGGAGGTCGTCGACTGACCAGTCGGACCTGAGAGGGGAAGTTGCTGGGAAGAATTAGGTTGCGGTGAAGTAAGCAGCTACAGAGCAAGGGATTCGAAGGTCATGCGACAGACCTCTTCTTATTTTCAAACGTTTTCCACCGACTTCAGAAGGTTTGGACAATTTCCGCTGACGATTAGCGTAGCCTGTTTTTTTTTCTTCAGCCATCGGAAAATAATAGCTGACCCTGTATGTTTCTACGAGTTTGTGCGTTTACTCGGCGGTTCAGCTGTTCCTTACAATTTTACGGTTCTCACTAAAAACGGGATCGCAAGGTTAGTTTTGGATCGTAAATTCGTAAAAGCCTACGAGTTGACTCGTGATTTTGACTAACACGATCCCCTTGTGGTTCCATTTCCTAGTCATATTGGTTTTAGGCAAAGATTCCATTTCACATTCATAATTTCTTTATACAAGAAGCATTTCCCTGTAAAAACACTCCAGTAGTCTCTAGAAGTAATTGGGCAACGGATTTAATATTATTAAAATAGTTATATTAATCTATATGGTATCAAATATGTAGTTAATCCATCATTTCCAATGGAGCCAAAGACTCCCTATTTGTTGGCTTGCGAATATGATGGAATAAAGCAAAATGGTTCACTAAACTCTATGCACTTCTTTCTATGAAACAGCAGCCAATCCATGCAATTTTCGACGTGATTTTCATCATGGGTCATCCGGACAGTCTCTGTGTGCTTTAGCACAGGGTCAAGGCTACGAACATCCGACCCCCCTTACCCCACCATAGGTGGGAGCCTTTTTGGTACTGGGGTAATGTTGTTGTTGTATCAAATACATAGTTGTAAAATATCCAAACTCTAGCTGTTTTGTTTCTCGTCATAAATAGTACACACTGCCCCTCTTTGATACGAAGCATCTCCTCTTATTTTTCCACAAAACTGAATTCACAAAATTGAACACGAAAAATCCATCCACTATCCGATGTGATACATGCCCGCACATGAGGATTCAGGAAGAATTTTATGATTAAAATAAGGTGATACTTTCATCATATCCAGAAACTTCTATTATCCTGATTTGTTTTGTGTATAATGACAAACGAGAAACTTAGGCCAAGTACTCCTAAAGGCAAAAGTACAAACTATAAAGATTAGCAAGTGTGTTATCTCCCAGTCCAAAAGGAAAAAGAAAGAAATAAAGATGAAGAAGAATAGAGTTAAAACTGTGCTCCATTATAGTTGAATCAAGTGAAGTTCATACAGTGTACAGTGAAGCAAGCACGGTTCAATTCAAGTTCAACCGTCAACTTTAATGTTTAATGTTTTCTATCAAGTTTGAAGCATATCATGGTTGATGGGGGTGTTAGAAATAAAGAAGGGTTGTAAATATAAAAATCCTAGTTATAAATGTGTATTATGGTTGTGATAGGGCCCGGGGCTGTAGTGAATAATGATAATAATAGTGATAGATTGATATTGAATAAGTTTGGTATTGTATAAATAAGTATTCTGGGCCATGTCATATAATATGGGCTGGCCCGTTAGAATAAAGTACTATAAGAGATAGAAGGAAGGGAGGAAAGAGGTAGGCAGAATTTTAGACTTGGGCTGAGAATTCTGGGAGAGATAGGCTGCTCGAAGTGCCTAAACCTGTATCGTTTCATTCCTGTTCATCAATTACGTTCATAATAAACAACCATTTCCCTTCTTCGATCCTGGTATCTATCAGGTTGTCCAATCAAAAAAAATATGTTCCCAATCATAACAGGTTTATGTCTACTATTTTTCGACATAAGAATTGCAATACTCTTCAAAAGTTATGAAGTTGTGATTTTATATCAATAAAAATAGTTTTAGAGCTCTACATTCTTCAGATGACCTAATCCTTGAAACACATTCTTAGACACACCAGAAAACAGATATTGATATGTTCTGGTGTTCCCACTTCACCCAAATGGAGACCAACTATTTGTGTGCCAGATTAATTAAAGTGATTGATGTGTGCATATCCTACAAAAAAATACAAGTGGTAAAACAAGAGATGAACTCACAGTTCCATTATTCTCTGAATTGCGTTGTTGTGGCAGCAATTTCCCATTTTGAGATGCTGAGATAGAATGAGAATAAAGTAAGTGAAACAAATCCCACTTTTAAATGCATGATTCTGTAAACAGTACCATTTTGGTCCTCTGCTCACCTTCTCCTGCTGATGATTGCATGCTATTCAACAAACTCATAATCAGATCCTGTAATGCTACAAGGTATTAGGACCATGCTTGAAAAAAGGTAAGGATTGCAAACAGAAAAAGAAAAAAAAGAGGGAGAGATGGACCTTATGTGAAAAGACTCAATTTAATAATACAACCAACAAGAATATAATACCTGTTGAATTGAAGTTTGTTGAAAAAGATTTTGAAGGTGGGGCATGAGAACTGATGCAGGTACATTACCATGGATATTTTCCTTTGGAGGCTGATTGGATGGCTGAAAAGGAAGAATGAAACATCATTAGCTCTGATTTCCCATTCTACAAGACGAAGGCCTTTTACATTTATCAGAGCATATATTTTGGGAAAACTATCAAATCGACCCTCGTACTATATCGAAAACGTCAATTAAGTCCTCGTACTTCAAAATCACCCAATTAAACCCTCGAATTTATAAAAACCATTCAATTATGAAATTTAGCCAGTTATGTATGTTTTTCGGTTACCGATTGATGTGGCAGCCTATGTGGCACTATTTTCGTTTTTAATTTTGAATAAAGCTTTTTAGAGAAAAAAATATAAGTGGAAGCTTCCTTCAAAGCTAGAATCATTCTCTGGTGCGAGGCCCTGGAATTAAAACGCTGGTGCAAAGGCTAGAGTTCCGAGTTCCTATATAGCTCATGTGAGCTCCATCTCTGTCTCTTGACATGAGGTTTAAAATCGCCGCTGACTCTAAAACCTCAGTCACAAGAATGGTTCCCCGTTGAATGCAGATGAGACTCTCTGCCGGAATCCCTTGCCATCCACATCATATTGCTCCAACCGCCATCTCTATCTCTCGAATAATAGTGCAGGTCAAGTCTTCTTCAGTTGGGTGTCTTGTGGTACAGCCTCCTCCACCGTCACTGACATCTTCTAGTTCAGTCTCCACCGCCATTGCCGACGTTTTCTACTTCAGTCTCTATCTCTGGCGTCCTCCAGCGATTTAGTAGGAAGAAGAAGCGTCTTCTTCAACAAAAGAGGAAAAAGAAACGAATTTGCCCTCACCACCGCCAACTTCTTCTCCTTAACCTCCATCGTCGGCGTCTGAAATTTGCTTGGGAAGAGACGGAATTGGGAGGGCAGACAGTCACTTATTTGGCTGTAAGTTTACGCAAATACCCTTTTTCTTTATATTATTTTCATTAAGTGATGTGGTATACATGTGTTGCCACATGGACAATCCACATACACACTTATCACCGGAAACCTGTTGGTTACCCATTAAACGGCCTATTTGAACGTTTTTAAAATGTTTGAGGGTGTTTAATGTGCGATTTGAAGTACAGGGACCTAATTGACTTTTTTGATATAGTACAAGGGCTTATTTGAAAATTTTCCCTTTTTTTAGTTTTAATTCTTTTGGCCATAGGGGATGGATGAGTGATGCACAAGAAGACAAAAACAAACATTAGACAAACCATTTGTTTATTCTCAGGAACCCATTCTCCAACGCTAGCAGATTTCCTCAGTGGGGATGTCTGGTGACCACACAATTTTTAGATCAAATGCACTCTACAGATCAATAAATATATGACTATGAACAAATAACAGAACATTCATCAGCTTACTTGAGAATATCGTCGGGGAACTGTACATAAAGGTATGTCCTAACATTTACATATAGGTCAGAAGTTATCGTTTTTAGCTAATGAATGAGAATATTCCACGCAGCATACCTTAACAAGATCCACATTTTCTGATGTCACAGAGAACCGCCCTTTTATTTGCACCAAATTGGCCTTTGACTTGTCTTCCAAAGAATCTCTGAATCCTAAAGTAAAGCCCCATTTCATTTAGTTCATTAACAACATGTGGTCACTTGAAATGAATATAGACGCATCAAACACACAAGTGAGTTACCACTAGATGGTTTAATAGGAGCTGATAAACTATTTGCTGAAGCGCGGTTTGGCAACATTAAAGGACCACTAAAACTAGGTGCTTTTCGCACATGCTGAGCTCTCTCAACCTGTAGGTTTTCAAACTCAGTCCTGGAAGAAAACCATGAAGGTAAAGAAAAATCACGAAATATACACGGACTAATAATGTTACGAAGACATAACAAAGGAGCACTAAAGCAATATCAAATACTGATCTGCAACTACTTTTTATGTTCCAACACTCCAGATTTCAAGTAGATAGAAAGTAATCAAGTTAAAGAAGGAACCTGTCAATGTTACGCGCCCTTTCTTGCGTAGAATGACTTAATACAGAGCCTGGCATGAGAGGTCCACTCTGACTTTGGCGAGGCTTTCCTGGTTGAGTTTTTGTCTTTGTCTGTACAGCATCTTTATCTGAAGTCGGAGGTGGGAGTTCTGTTTTAGATTCATCCTTTCTAATTTCAGTTTTCCTTTGGCCAGCATCCAATACATCATTTTCCAGATATTTTCCCTTCTTGCTCTGGCACTCAGCTGCAGGCATCTCACCAACAATTGTTTGTGCACTAAAAGTATAAAGTTCATGACACAGCAACTCATTTAACATGAAAATAATTCAAGTTGTAAATAAATTAACATTATTAAAATATCCACTTGTATACTATGATCACAGTTGCATTAGATTTGTACAGTGTAAGCCAGAATTCAACAGTAAGTCAATTTCTAGATCTAATTTAAAAGACATATTCTTCACAGAAAATAAAAGCACAAACTTCTACCTGGAAACAACATTTTGATTGGGACTTAACCCCCCTAAATTTTGTCCAGAATTAGATACCTGCCAGTATAAGCATATTAACTGTTTATTTATAGTATTTGAGGCTGTAAAATTAAGTGAAAAATAAAGGGTTGGATATTGACAGGCTTAGTCACAGTGGCATTAGCATAACTTGACAGTAGATAAAAATATCACTATATTTTAGATGAAATAACTACACAACCTCACTACTGGTGCAAAGTTTCATATTCACATCTCCGTACTTCATTTCTTGCATGTCTTCTTCATCAGGCACCTATCATAACGCAATAGATAGCAAGAGACTTTTTACAAAGAACACGACACCTCCAAGCCACAATATTAAATTAGAAGATATATTACCTCCGTCCCCGTGGACTTTGCCAACTTCGAATTAGGTGAGAAATAAGTAAGTAAAAGTTGTGTGGTTGAGGTTTGTGCAGAAGAGAGAGAAATGAGCAAAACCACAAATTAGTTGCTTTAATGGGAAAGTGGCAAAGCTTTTGAGACAAACAAAAAAAAAAGTTGGCAAAGTCTAATGGGACGGAGGGAGTATAATACTTTATGCGTACCAGTGATGCCTGTAGCTTCAAATCTTCAAGATCAAAGTTCCATGCACTAACACCTCGCTGGTATTCACTCTGGGAAAATAATTAATTGAATAGAAAATTAGGACGAATAGAAAAAAACAGCATGCATCAAGGTTGCTCCCAAAAAAGATCAGGGCACATTGATTATTAAAGTAATCAGCTCTTGTAATATTTTAAGATAGGTGATTGACGTCATAAACCAACATGAACGGGGGCTTTTCAGCACTGTTTGTGTTGAGCAACAAAAGTTAGCATTTTCTCTTTCCAAAGAATAATGAAATAAAAGAAATGTAGACGCAAACCAGGCACAACTAAGGCATGTCATGATCAGTTTACCAATTTAATCGAAAGATATTAAAGAGCTATGTTGGTGATAACAATTGCCCAAACCTGTGATATCGCTTCTTGTTCTGCTGAAGGCATCTTCTTTAGAGCAAGTTGAGCAGCATCTCTCAGCTGCAACATTTCCCCAGAGGAAAACTTAAAAAATATTATAAACAACAAAACCAGGAAGCTAGACAATACCGCCATAATAAAACACCTGGAGATCTTTCACACGATTCCAAAGTGGAGGCAAGTCGGTAAGTAGTTTTTTTACAGACAGCTCCGGAGGCTTGGCATGCTTGAAAAAAGAATGTTTTAACAACTTATCTGCAGTAGGCCTTTTAGATTGGTCTTTGACTAAACACATAGCAACCATTTCTTTGAATGCCTGATTAAAGAAAGACAAAAAAAACTATATGATTACATTTTTTGATAGACAAAATCAGTTATGTAAATTACCCGTGGATTTTCTTAGAATAATACTCCCTCCGTCCCATTGGACTTTGCCAACTTTCCCTTTTTGGTTGTCCCAAAACACTTTTCCATTTTCCAATTAAAGCAACTAATTTGTACTCATTTCTATCTCCTCTTCACAAACCTCAACCACACAGTTTTCACTTTTCTTATTTCTCACCTACTTTGGAATTGGCAAAGTCCATTAGGACGGAGGTAATACTATTTAGCAGTACCTCTGTCCCGGTATAATTAAATAAGGTTATTTGAGCATATTTTGAGAAGTAGCTTGATGGGTAAATAATATAATGAGATCATTGAAGATCACTGTAATATTATAGGAGTAATGGTGTATTATTTTTAATATTTGATGATTAAGTCATACTTAGTTAAATACGGTACGGGAATTAAACGGGGTTTAATACGTACGTGTTTTATTCGGTAACAAGAGTGAAAAAGACGGTCAAAAATTCGTTGAAAAATACGTTGACTTTTAAAAAACGTGTGAATACGTATACGTGTATAATACGATATATGTTACAAAAATTCGGACAAAAAATACGCGGTATTATTTTGAACATTCAAAGTATATACTTCACAGAATAAGATATATAGTAAAAACAAATAAAAGTATATACATATTCAAGTAGCATATCTCATTACCACTCAAAAGAATAATTTGTAATTTCATAAGTCGATGAAGAAAATAAAAATAGTAATCAAGTCCAAGACATAATTTTGTAAAATAAAGTCAAAAAATGAGGAGTAAAAACAATAGAATGAGACTAACTTAAAATCATTGTCTTTATATGATCATCAAATAACACTCAAGTCAAACTCATGATTTTCATCAAGATGGTGAATGACATATGAGAAAAGTACGTTGTGCGACTGATACACTTATTATTGTTTGTGTGTAAAAGCTTATACTAAAATATGTTAGGTTTAGAAAAACCTTAATTTTGATACGATATCATCATAAATCCAATAGTAGTTCAAGTTTTGATCTTGTAGAAAGCTAGCTTTAGTCACCATGCAAATAACTTTAGTGATTAATAATTGCATTGTAACAATACAAGAACATGGGGTTACGAGGAGGAGGTTTCTTTTTTGCTTTTAAGCTATTGTTGATCTCATATGCATTTTATGCACTAATTCAATTGGTCAATTCATGTTTCTAGTTTTTGTAAAATACGGAAAAAATACGTTTTATACGGGAAGTGAGAGTTTTTTTCCTTTTTAAACGGACCGACATTATTTTTCGTTTTAAACACGTTTTTTTGTTCAAAAAAACGGTACGTGTTTAAAACGCGTTTTAAACGGAAAAAAGCTAACTAGGGATTAAGTTGCCATTTAAGAGTGCTAATTATTACCTAAAATAGAAATGAGAACCTTTAGTTGGGACGTCCAAAAGAGGCAAGTGAGGAGCTTAAGTTGGGCGAAGGGAGTATTATCAACACACTACTTTTTTAAAAAATTACACAAAAAATATGGCTTTATCCATGCATGTGTATCGAATTAACAATTAACATACTAGTGTAGTACTACGTGTTTGAGTAATTTGACATCTGAGGAGCATAAAGCCATATCAACATGATTTAAAAGTGAGTACATATATGTGTGCTGACTGTGGTCAAATATCAAAACGCTTTTTTAAAGAAATTGACTATTGAAACTTATGCTGATGTAGATCATCTTGCAAATTCCCATTAGTAACGAAATTACCTTAGAGAACCTTTTATCACGGTCATAATCAAGCCCAGGAGGTGCGTTTTGTATGGTCATAAGAAGAACCTACAACAAGCAAGTGGAGGAAACTAACATGGTAGTGAATGCATACTAAAGCACATGCGGCATTGGTAAGAATATTTTTGTAAAACCTTTGCAAGTAATATATACCTTCATTGGAGGGTATTTTGAAAATGGTGCATGGCCATGAGCCAACTCCAAAGCAGTTATTCCGAATGACCAAATGTCAGCCCTAAATGAGGATGAGGTGCATCCATGTTAATAATTTTTTAATGAACCAGGACCCAGTGATCCACCACTTGTGCTCCAGCACAGCCTGCCACCCGTGCTCCATCACCAAACCTGGTGTTGACGCACCCACTCCGAAAGAACACGGAAGCAGTTAATTTCCGTAGAGGGATATGAGTAACGTTGGTGAAATTGAACCCGAGTGGCAAGCATATTTAAGATTTTGAGAGCATTTGTGCAACCGGTCGGACCACCACCTCCATTAATTATGCATTCAACAAACACACAAAATGTACATGTGCATATAACAATAGACATGATTTATAGCATTATTGAACAGATATAGTACTAGAGAAACAGACTTATTGATATTAGAAAGTGAAGGCGGTGGTCTTAAATTACATCAGAGGAAACCAATAGGTGGATATGAAAAATAAAAACACCTTACTTGAAATCATATCCAGCTCCAGGCTGCAAAACCTCCGGCGCCATCCTTCGAGAAGATATAAGTTGTAATAAATATTGACTAAAAGTCAAAAAGAAAGAATTTTTTACTGAAAGAAAGTAAAGAAACTGTTGATTTTAAATGCTCACCAGCATGGAGTTCCTACAAATGTATTCCTTGATCTACGCCTCTCGCCTGTATCAAACATGCACGCCGAAACACCAAAGTCAGCAAGCTTTACATCCCCATTAGTGTCTAACAGTATATTTCCAGCCTGCAATGACACTTGTTAGATAAGATCGCATAGACCTTCGACTCAAAGAACTACTGGGATGACATACCAAAATTTTCCAGCAAGTGAAGATGAATGCCAAACTCAACTGACCTTAACATCACGATGAATGTGTCCATGCCGGTGGAGGTATTCCAAAGCCTTCAGTGTTTCTTTTAGTATAGAACCAATTGCAGACTCTTCAAATCCTTCTGGGTATGCTATTTTCATGAGGTGCAGACAAGAACCCTCAGCCATAAAGGGCATGACCACCCAAAGGCAGCTACCAACAACAAAAGAGCAAAATGCTCTAATAACATTGGGGTGATGAATTAAACTCATTGTTTGGGCTTCTCTGCGAATGTCATCCTGTAGAAAATAAAATTCTTCAAAAAAATCAGTATTATTTACTTCAATTGGTCTAAATAGTAAATACTAATCCCATCTCTATCGGGTTGCTTTAATTTATCTAAACACTAAGGCTTCTGGGTGAGAACCACCTACATAAGATTCCATGAAAACAGTATATGGAATTTTGACTCTATAGTTAAATAATGCCAATGTAGTAATGTGATGTTTAGACAATTTTTATAAATTTGTAGTCCATTCTCATCAAGGCCAATTCTCTTCAATCCTAATGCATAAGAATGGAAATTTGGCCCGAGACATATTTAACAGTTTACAGAATGTTGAAGAAGATTGATGAGCTGTCCTTTCTTGCTACAACTAGAAATGTTAGATTATGGGATCATGTATACCCAAGTGATTAAATATTAGTGCAAGTTTCCAAGTTCAAACACTAGTCAGAAGAATCCAGAAACATAAAAGGATAGGGCGCATTTAATTCCCCAGCTCTAAATCCAAGAAATGAGACCAGCCAACCAGAGCATTACGAAGGAACTAAATTAGATTATAATATATGGAATAATTTTGTACCAATTCAAAATGTTAATAAAGAGCCACTCAGGTTTGCTTAATAAAGAGAACTGGATTAGTTAAGGTTCCACAACCTCAAGACTAAATGAGAGAATCCCTAGAAAACAGCTGGCAGACCAAAACAGGCTTTTATCTTGTCTCGAATGTTACCTAAATCAAACTAGTAACCTAACATTCAGCTTGCCAGACGCTCAACAGTCCGCTAAGCTGTGACCCTATGTTCTTTGCTCTCCGCTTTATCATACCGAGTTGTGAAGAAAGAGTTGACTTGCAAAGTCCACAACTTTGACGAATACAGAAAATGATAATAAGCTTGACTATGACAGCAAATAAAGACAATCATTTGACACCAACTACGCCAAACTTGATGCCATTAGCTTAGCTCAAAGTTAACTGTAACAAAGTTTCAGTTGCAGAAAGGACACACACCAGATTGCTGTTACAGCGATCGAGATCCAAGCACTTGACAGCCACAACATCATTGAGAGGAAGATAGATCGCTCTGTACACAGTAGCGCTGGCGCCATAACCGACCTCTTCCAGAAGCTTGTAGTCATCCGGATTAGCCGAGTAGTTCTTCTGACCACAGGTCATGGTCCACCTACTACTTCTCCTCCACCGCCGGTGGAAAACGGATGAAACCGTCGATCGGAAAACAAGCTGCTAAACTTCAAACAATTGGTAGAAATGTCGGAGCAATCTGCAGATACAGATTTAGATAGAGATAGACCGATATATGGACCGAAGAAGAAAAGCTAAGCTGCTGTATTACAAAGCTCCAAATTATTAGTGATACAATTTAGATTTTTATTTTGTTATAGTTATTGATGCGTTATTCTCTAATGATAAATAACAATAGTTATAATAATAATATCTCCATCCTAACATTAAAATTAAAATATTAATAATACTATCTCCATCCTAACATTAGAAATTGAGATTGACTATCATGATCCTTCATACTATGACTAATATAGGAATTAATATAAGTTCTAATAATAAAAAACAAGAATATAAATAAAGTACTCAATCCTAAAAACCTGTTCTAGAAGTATTAAAAACCAAAATGAGTTGGTATACTTAATATTCTTTCAAGAGTATTTTGTACATATTATTATGCCATAATATTCGGTCCACCCCGGTATAAAGTTCTACTACGTATTAAATTTCCTCCAGCCAAATTTCATATTGTCATAAAATCCTAGTAAATTATTGAGGTGCTTCAATACTGCTTCTACATTTCCTTCAAAAACAAAAAATACTGCTTCTACATTTTGAATTTTTAACATGAAAAAATTCACAAACAAAATATAAGGGTCTATTTACAACTTTCCAGATTTCTTTTCTGTTTTTCATTCCTTCAATTTTCTGTTTTCATTTTATAGTTTTTCTATCTCCGATTTTTTGTTTTCATTTTTTAGTTTTCCATCTTCGAATCCGAAACATGTTCATCAAATTTTTTCACCTCATTCTTTGACTAACTGAAAGTATGGTCCTGGTCCAGAATCGAACCTAGTACATCCCTAGTATAGGGAAGTCAGGACAGAAATCGGTCGGTCCTGGCCAATCCCAACGGCTAGTTTGACTAATTCTTTTCCCTTTTCCCTATTGGTTAGCAACTCAACGGCTCTTTTGAAACTCTTCACTTTGAAAAATGAATTAAAAAAACTGGGGACCGAACCGTCGAGCCGTTGACCGGATAGGACACGCACCGTCTGGTCGTTGATCGGATCGGACGAGGACTGTCAGGTGATCAATCGGTCCGGATAGGGACCGCCGCATAATTGACCGAACCAGACAAGGATCGCTAAGTCGTTGACCTGACCGGACAGAGACCATCAATCGTTGATCGGTATGGGTCTGCTCAATCGTCGACCGGACTGGACTGGGATTGCCAAGCGGTCGACCGGAGTGAACATGTACCATCGGGTTGTTGACTGGATTAAAAAAGGGATATATAGGGATAATTTGAGTTTGCACCCCATATTATTGTTCAAATTGGACTTTGCACCCCGTTTTTAAAAAAACTTTGTTTTTGCACCCCAACTGTGACACCGCACCCGAACGTCCTTGAAAACTCGATTTAAAAATTTATAAGTGATGTATTGAATTTCCGATTTCAAAACAATGGGAGAAACGATTAATATTTTACGAAGTACATGATTGAATATTGTATTGTTCAAACCCGCATTCTTTTGTAATTTTCATCATGTAAATTATTGGGAGGAGCCTACACATATTGGAGATCAATAATGTGATTTTGGAAGTTGACTTGTTCTAAATAAATTAGGATGAGTGCAAAAAGACATCTTTGACAAAGATAAAACAATAGGACCCATCTTCCCATTTTTTGGAAGTATTGGTAGATATTTTGGACCCCAAATTGATTGGGATTAATTGGGGGGCATCCCATGTGGCTTGAGTACCTGCAAGACAAGGAAAATATGTGAGGAGACTCACCTTGGCCGCACCACATGGAGAAGCATTGCCCATGACACAATTGGGATCAAATTTTGGGGCCACCACCACTGTTTTCGCACAAACAGGTGTGCTGTTTTGTCTCCCTTCATTTTGAGAGTTGTACTCGTCCAAATGGGGTGTATAAGGTGTCTTTGGATAGCTTTTGAAGTCTATTTCCATATTTGAGTGGCCACAGTTCGAGAGGAGAGAGCAATCATCCAAAAATCGATCTGGAACGAGCAGAGGTCTGTGAACTCGAGCTGTGAGAGTGCTGAGACTGTTTGGTCGATATCTCGAGTTTTACAAATCCAATTAAGGCGTGTGAGATACCCACAGAAAGCTCTCAAGACGAGGAATCCGTGAAGGTCTGGTTTGCAGGAATCGTAGTTGTGGAAGGCTTCCAAATCGTCCGAGAAAAACGCAACCTCGCAGGAGAGGATTTAATCCTCTAAAGTGAGTTTTAAACCCCAAAGCTTTACTTTTCATTCTCCAAATGATATGAACGATTGGTGAGACTATTATACACTAATCCAAGTGTATAATATGTCCTTATAAAGTTATTTTATTGATGTAAAGGTTAGATACTAACCTAGATGCAAATATTGGAAAACTAGGAATCGAGTTAGCCGGAAAACACCCGTTCTAGGGGCTGTTTTCGTATCAACGATTAAGGGTTGAACTAGCACTTTGAGGAGGCTGTTTAACACTCATATTTGAGCAAGGAATCAGTTCCAAATCCACTTTGACCAAAGCTTTGACCATTGGACCAAGAAGGGAAAGTTTAAAGCTCAATTGAGGTGAGGATTGACATCTAATTGCTTACAACTTGTAGGTTAAGCATGAGATTACCTAAATGCTTAAATCATGATTTTTCATGGATTATGATGATTATATATTGATGAAATACTGATATAGTTGCCAAGGAATGAAATTTGAAATGATTTGAGAAGGTATGAATAATATGAGATTAAATGAGTATAAATGAACTATTTGTGAAAATGGGCATTTTGCTCATGTATGAATTATGTGGATACATAAATAAATATTTGTGTATTGAGATTGAATACTTAAGTTGCTGCTACATAATTATAAATATGTAGAAAATTACAAATAATGAGGATAATGGTATGATAACAATAATCTTAATAGTATTGAAATACTAGTTAGTGATTATTGGAACTTGTTGATTAAATTGATCCTAGGGATTGGATTGTATGAAAGGTACTTGAATATAGTTCAAGTGTATATAATAACTTAGTTTGGAACTAAGGTTAAGTTATGGGAAGTCTTTAAGGATGACCCAAAGTAGTTTAATGATATGTCAATTCTAGGCATAGGGTTGCTTGAGAATTGGACCTTAATGCATGGTGATGTAATAGAGCCGAGCTCTAGAATGCATGTAAGGTGTAGACTTGGAGTCTATGTATTGTATAGCTAGAGCCGAGCTCTAGGACTTGCGTGGTGATGTAATAGAGCCGAGCTCTAGAACGCAAGGTAAGGAAATTGACCCGAGGTATATGAATTGTATGGTGATGTAGTAGAGCCGAGCTCTAGAATACAATGTCATGTACTAGGGTTGGACTCTAGGAGTTGTCGTGGCTTATAGCCACGGGGTTGGGAATGGTGATTTCCAAATGAAAATGGGCCCACGGGCCGACTACTTGACTTTTATATAAAGTAAGTATATTTTTAAACGGGGTAACTTAGGGTTACAATCATAATGTACTATCACCCTATTTGAGGGTCTTGTGTTTGAAATACTTGTTGTATATCTATTAGATGCCTGCCACACCAGTACTTTATAGCCGTATAGAGTACTGACCCCTTCGGGGGCGTCCCACCACCATTTCAGGTTGAGGCTAGAGCTTGCATCCTGTGCTCGTTGATCGAGTGATTCCTCGGAGAGAAGACTTGGTTCGTGCTTCCTCCATTCTATTTGAAACATTAATAAATTTGCTCATGGATATTTTATTATAGAGCCTGCGTGCTCATGAATAGCCCTGTGTGGCTCTTTCGTTTTAAACAATGTTTTCCGCTGCTTTATGAATTACTTATTATGTTGTTTATGGATGACTTATGTGTGAATGATATTCATGACGCCTTGTATAATATGAATGTGTTGGATTGCGATTGACTATTCGTATTGTACGGCGGGTTGTTGACGTGTCCGGGGAGGTCCGGGGCGTGACACCAACCCTATATGAAAAGACAAAAATGCCCCTCGATCATGAATATGTTGAAGGCCAAAATAATTGTTAATGGAGGGGCATTTTTGTCTTTTCATATGAGCTTGGGGTGCAAAAACAAAAAATTTTAAAAAACGGGGTGCAAAGTCCAATTTTGACAATAATATGGGGTGCAAACTCAAATTACCCCATTAAAAAAGGGATTGTTGAGTCGTTGACTAGACTGGACCGCCGGATCGTTGACCTGGCCGGATAGGGACTGCTGGGTTCTTAACTGGACCAGACTGGAATTGACATCGGAGCGGGACTGGATTCACCACTAGGCGTAAGTATGCATTCATTGTAGCGGCACTACAACATATGCGTATTTCAAATTTGAAAAACTAGTAAAACTTACTTTTCCAACTCATTAAGGAAAACAGAGATATATCTCATTTTTTTTTGTTTTGGAAAACGATATGGTAAATGCATTTTTATGTTTTTCTTTATTTCTCCAGTTTTTCAGCAATTTATTTTAGTAAACACGTTTTATGTTTTTCTTTTTCCAATTTTTCAGTTTTCTAAAAAATTAGAAAATATCTCTGTTAGTAAAAGACCCTAAGGTTTTCATCGAATTTAGAATAACCTTGTGACTCTAAGGCATAGGCAGGGTGCAAATTGAACTATACAGTTTTTTCTTTTAATTTTAAAATAAACAATTTACACTAATATTTAAACATTTTTCAAAATTTGCCCATAGTAAATAAATTAAAAAAAATCTTCTTTACAAAAATGTGTACTGTAAATGATTTAAAGTGCGTGACGCAAAACTTATCAATGTAATTGTGCATCTCAGATGCTCAAAAGTTAAAAGTAGAAGCGTTCACATTTGTACAGAAAAACTACTTTTCGTTGGAACATGACATTATATATATATAGGGGGGAGTTCAAATAAAAAATTGTGTTCCATATTAAAGTGCGAATGATTGCACTTTTTGCTCAATGTGATGAACTATTCCATGTTTTTATTGCACTTTCATTTTATTGCAATCATTGGTTATGATACACATGATATCATATTCATATATAATTACCCCAAATTCAAAGGGAAAATGGAAACTAATAATCCAACCTTTTAGCGGTCTTCTTTCAATAATCCCACTTTTTGATTATTCATG